TCTGTGCTGTGTATCGGGCGGCGTGTGACAGACGGTGTCGGTCGTGCCGTGACCTGTTGCGCTGTCTTGGACTCTTGGATGAATGGTTGTGCCGCTGTGTTGTGTCCGACCATCATGTGGCCCGTCGTACTGCCGTGTTTTGCGCATGAGTCTGACGGTCGTCGCTACTGGTCGGACGGTTTTCGGCTGTGCCGTTGTGTTGTTTGTCTGACCGCCAGGCACCCCGTCGTACTGCCGTTGTGAAGTGTGTAGGTATATGCGTGTCTGCCGGTTGGTGTTGGTGTTGTGTCGTTGTGTTGTATCGGTTTGTCGGGTGTTGGTCGGGCGGCCGTTGTGCTGTGTCGGTCGCTCGGCGCCGCTGGTGTTGTGTCGTCGGGTGTCGGTCGGTCGCGCCCCGCGGCCGCCTCTCATCTCACCACAGCCCAGCGGTGGGCGGGCCGGCCCGGGCCAGGGGCCGACTATTTCGGGGGTGTGGCTCCCCCGCTCTGCCGCGCTGCGCCGCCGCTCTGCCCGCCGCCCGGCTGGGCCAATGGCGGCGGGGCGTGACTCAGCGGGCCGCCGCGCCGGGCCACGGCGGGCCGCCGCCGCCGCCGCGCCAGTCCAGTGCGAGCTGCGGCGGTGACGCGCTGCTGCTGTCTGTCCGAACCCCGCGAGCCGAGACGGCACGCCCTGTGTGAGCTGGCTGTGTCAGCAGTGGTTTGTGTGTTTGGTGTTGTGGGGCCTATCGGCGCCCAGTGGACGGTGTCTGTGTGTGATTTGTGAGGAGTGCCAGCGACAGGTCAGTAGTTACGGTGTGGTGAGGCGATAGTAGCCGGGCACGCTGCAGTACGATGGGGTGATAGCGTCGGGGGACGGGGCTGTGCACTGCTGTTTGGAGGGTGGGTGCGGCGCTGTGGTGTCGAAACACCCAGGAAAGTACGGGTGTCTGCAGTGTGTACTTTTAGGGAGTAGAAGCGATAGCCCCTTTGTTGTCCGTGGGTGAATCCCCGCCCCTCCCGTGCCGTCGGACCGCTCCACCCGTGCCGGTCACGGACTCACGGGGCTGCCCCGCTCTGTGTCACTGGGTCCACGCCCCGTGCCGTCGGACCGCTCCACCCGTGCCGGTCACGGACTCACGGGGCTGCCCCGCTCTGTGTCACTGGGTCCACGCCCCGTGCCGTCGGACCGCTCCACCCGTGCCGGTCACGGACTCACGGGGCTGCCCCGCTCTGTGTCACTGGGTCCACGCCCCGTGCCGTCGGACCGCTCCACCCGTGCCGGTCACGGACTCACGGGGCTGCCCCGCTCTGTGTCACTGGGTCCACGTCCCGTGCCGGCGCCGGCGCGGACGGCGGCGGCTGGCGAGTGCCTGTCAGCGCCGGGTCGTCATAGCCAGCGCAGAGGGCACGGCCAGCCGCCGACCCCGCGCCCCGGTAGAAAGTTGTTTACAGTCGGCGGGGCGTGCTGCGTGCCGCGCCGCCAGAGCAAGCTGCGCTGAGATGTGTGTACGGTACCGTGGCAAACCGTGCTGGGTGGTTGAGGCTGGTGGGATCGATGCGGAACCATGATGGCCCGTTGGGGAGAGCTGACCCCTGGAAGGGAGATCCTTCTTCCTTGCTGACTACACTCCCAGCGCAGTGTGAGAGAGACGAGTGGTAACATCCATGCTCTCAGTGGCCAGTGCTCCCACCTGAACTGCCCTCACCCCTGGCCCTTCACAGGATGGTTTATGGTCTAGACGTTTGGAGATGGGCCGCGCGCTCAGCTGGGTGGCTGGAAAGCAGCTCGGAATGTCATTTGACTTGTAGAACGGTCTCGGGCGAAAATCGATCACGTTTGCGTGCCTGCGCTCTGTATAATGGGCATTACCCGTATGACTAAGCACGGGGAAGTGGAAGGGGACTGCCGGGGCGACGAATATGGACAGCGCGAACGGAACGAGCGAGTTCTTGATAACGAACGGCGACACGCACGGAAATGAGTCAGGACGGAGGCGGCGACGGCCGGCACGGCGCGCGGCGCGGCGCGAGCGCCATGCCTTGGCCTAGTTTCCACGGAACACCGTTGTGACGTCACGGAGGTCCTGGCTGGTCCTTGGAGGCGGCTCGGACCGGGCCGGACCACCTCTCGGCTGGTGGGGTGGGTGGCGGAGGTTACAACAGATGCGCGCCGCAACCGCTGCCTGATACGCGGCGGCCGCGGACAGCTCGCTCGCTCGCTCGTTGGATGCCGGCGGCTGGCGTCATTCTATTGACAGCGCGCTGCTGCGGGGGCGGGGGCGGCTGGTCGACCTCTGCCGCTCGGCTGCCACCGCACACAAACAGAGGCCTGCCGCCGCGCCGGTATGGTTTACCGTCAGTGTCACGCGCGCGGCGCCTGCGGACCGCCACACGTCCACAGAGGGCTGGGTGGGCCGGGCCGCACGCAGGCACCTCGTTCCTGGCTGCACTCTGCATACACTGCGGGGCAAATAAAACTGCACAGTGTACACAACACGGCGCGGAGCGGTGCACTGCATACCACAACACCTTGAGCGCACCGCCCACTGGATTCGAACTTTTGGAATTACCTTCTGATCTTTGCTTGGAATCAGAAACCTCTGCCTAGAATGAAGCGGGAGGAAATGATGTAAGCGAAATCAATTAATGTACCGGGACTGATCTTAAGTCCGGAAATTGTTCGATTTTCCCATCTTTCACTTACCGTTATGCTATTAAACGTGACATGTTATCCTCATAATGCTCTAATACGTTTACACTGAGTTGCACCCAGTGCGTTTATTAAAGGAGAAGACAGAATGGGGAAGCACCGTTCTTTTTTCCTTTGAGCGCTAGTGTTTCTTTTTGCCCATATACCCTATGGAGATCGTTAGCGTAGATGTGCACTCGCTTGACATCCCCTGGCCGCGATGTCTCGTCTCCCGAGTGTTCAGTGGCGCATGGCCGGCGCTGCCGCCTCCCACCGCGTCTGAAAGCGGCGCGTCATACTCGCCGGCGATTGAATTTTCCGCTCGGCTCGGCCCGTGCCAGGTCGGTTTTCCAGCCGGTAGTTGAACGCAAAGGCCGTTATGTCGCTGCCGGCGGCGTCACGGCGGTTGAGGGCGTCGGCAACGGGCGCCCCGCGGCCTTTGATTGGCGCCCCAGAGCTGCCGATGGCCGCCCTAGACCAGCGCAGCGGGCCGGCGGGGGCGTCTTGAGACCAGTGGTTCTCAGGAGTTAGTTTGACATGTAGTGGCAGTAAGCAAGTTACACACGAATTTAAATAGAGAGTGTCACGAATCTCTTGTTTGAATGCTTAAGAATGTTGAGAATGCATCTCCTATCCATGCTGGTGGAGTTTGTGGCATTCTCTTCGGTACCGTGCTGTTTATGGGATCCTCCCCGGTGCTGTGCTCATTGTGGGATGCTCCCCGTTGCTGGCGGTGACCTCCGTGTGACCGCTCTCCCATCTCGGTCCCTCCTGGCTCTGCGGGTGGGCCGCCCTGGCGCTGTGTGCCGGGCCCGCGCGGGACGCCCTCCCGGCCGGCCCTCCCACCAGGAGACGCGCTGCCCAGCCGCCGCCCAGCGCCGGCCCTCGAGCGGCTGATGGATCGCGCCTATAAGCCCGATCACGACTCTCGACACGCACGGCCAGTATTGAGCCGTCATGGCCATGGGTAGGTCGCGCACCTTATATGGACTGAAACCTGGCGCCGATTGCACACCGGGCTGATGTTTCATAACGTCCAGGAACTGGCGCAGTCTCTGCCGGCGCCCCAGGTGCCCGTTGTCGACTGGGACGGAGCTGCGGTGTGTGGGCTCATTGCAGCACGGCGCAGTGGCTCTCTGAGACCAGCGCCGGAGAGGAGCAGGCCTCCGGGCGGCCGAGTGTCGCAGCGGAGGAATGCGGCCGCGACGTCTGACCTTGGTGCAGGCTGGTGCGCCGCCGCGCCGCGCCGAGTTGCGCCATCGGTCTCTGGTGCGCCGCCGCCGCCGACGGCCGCCGCGCTGTGGCCAATTGGCGAGCTGCGGCGCCGATTGGCCGCAATGGCTGCAGTGACCGGGTAGTGCGCAGTGCTCCGAGCCTCAGCTGCGGACCGCGGCGAGCGGCCTGGTCGGAGGACCTACGCAGCATGTTTGATGTAAGGAGAGGTGCAGAGAGCTCACTGAGGCGCTCAGTGAGCTGTAACGATTCACGAAGATGACGACAGCACTCAGCCACTAACTCGTTTCCCGCCACCGGTTAAATCACGTCTCGCCTACCAATTAGCTCGCCGTCGGTTACTAATTAACTGACCGCACGTCATTAACCGGCTGCGTGCCGCCCGGTCGGTGACGCCATAGGGGCGGTAGCTGGAAATCGGGCGTCTAGCAGCGCCTCACCCACCGGACCTCACCCACCATGGGACCTCACCCACCGCTAACTCCCATCGCCGGGATGAGTCGACCAGCGGTGAACAAATGGTACGACCGTAAATCTCGGCGCCACCATCGTTTGGGGCGTTTCCTCGCATTTGAAATTACTCGACGGTCTCGCGGGCCAAACCACGTGACCCCGGCCTGTGCGGAGCGGCGCCGCTGGCGGCCAGTCACGTGACCCGATATGACTAACGAGCTGCGCTGAGGGCGGTGATGGCGAGACGATGGGCGTAGCCGCTCGGCGCGGTACGTGTCTGCGGCGCGACCCGACCCGAGCTGAGCCAGCGGTGAACCGTTAGAGGACAGGACACGGCCCGCGCCCGCCGCTCGACCTGGGCAGACATACCACCGGCCGACCGAGCCGCGAGATGGGCCTGTGTGATGTATCTCGGCGACCACCGGCCTCCTTTTGGGGAGGTGTGCTGTCAGTAGCGCGCCGGTGTGTCGCGAATCATGCCCGGGCGGCGGGTCAGATGGTAGACACGGCGCCGGCTATCGCTCTCCCCATCGGCCTCGAGTCTGTCGCCGGTGAGAGGGCGATGTTCGCGCGCTGACAGTGACACCCGTGTCTCCGTGTCCCCGTGTCGTCCGTGTCGCTGACACCCGTGTCTCTGGCTGTTGCAGAGGGTACCAAGGCCAAACCGAACAGCAGACTGGCGCGCCGGGCGCGCTCCTTCAAAGAGGACCTGTTGGAGAAGCTCAACAACATGAAGACGCCACATGTCATCCGGTCACATAGTCCAGGTGAGTGGGGGTCAAGGTCAGATTGATTGCGAAGGTTTAGTCTAGTTCTTCGATTGAGCTAGGCCGCGGGTCACTATCAGAGGGACTGGAATGAATGTCCGTTAGGTCGATCAAGGATTGTTCGGGGAAGGAGATGAGTCGGTGGCCGGTCTGTGTACTCAGGTCGTTGTTGCTGCCGGGCTGGAGAAGGACAGAGAGCGATGAGGTGTACTCATGAGAGCTGAGTCAGCGCGGAGACAGCGGCCGCTGTGTGGTGAGAGCCATCCGCGCCGCACTGTGCCTCTCGGGGCAGTGAGTTGGAGCCGCCGCGGTGGCCGGGGTCCGACGGAGCCGTGGTGACCGCGCCGTCCCAGTGCTCCAGGAGTGTCGACGTGGGCATCGCGCCGCCTGTCGCCACACCGCACTGCCAGCCGACTCTGTTTACATCTGCGGGCTCGATGACGTCAACAGAGCTCGTCTGCCCGCGCAGTGTGTGATGTCGGCACGGGAGCCGCCGCTACCCTCGCCACCGGTCATTGTTGCTGTGAGCGAGTTTACTCTGCTCTCCGCGGCCCCGTGATTCGGGGAATTATGGTTATTATAGCGGCCGCTGATTGTACCATTCCCAAAGCGTGCGGCCGTTCCTGGAAGCCGCCTGGCTGGATCCAATATCGGCCCGCCGTGCGTCACCGGCGACCGTGTTGGTGGTGTGACGTCACCAGCGGCTACTGGTCGCCGCTCTGAGGGCTCTCGGAGAGCGGTAATGACTGGACCGGCTGGCGACTGCTGACTGGCCGCGACGGGCGCTGGACGCTGACTCAGCGGCGCGACGGCCCGGCAGCCGGTGTGTGCGTGCAGGGGAGGGCGCCCTCAGTGCTCCTCACCACCGACCGGCCAGTGTGACGTCACCAACGGCTTTATTGGGTGCCGTCGATCAAATATTGACCACCGGTTTCGTCATCTCACTAGAAATGAGCCATATCAGTTCAGAGAACTTGTCCCTTTCTGACTCCCAGATCAAGTTTGCTTGCTTTTTTCGTATGTCTGTGCCGTAGGATTCGCGGATTTGTTGTGTTCAAGATTAGTTTGTCCTCAGTCGGAGCCTGACTGGCATCATCCACCCCGCGACTGTGCGCCGCCGCTCGCCGTTCCGCCGTGTTCTGCTGTCGTCGTCAGCTTCGTGTCGACTCAGCTCCGTGCCGTGTCGTGCCGTGGGACCGTGTCCCAGTTTCGGCACGGCCCGCCACCCACCTATAAATAGCCGGCGGCGGCGGGCGCGTGCCTCCCTCCTCCTCCGCCGGGATGCTGCCGACCGGCCGGGACAGGTGCACAGCCGGCGCCGGATGGCGTCGCTGACGTCAGCGGCGGCTATCGACTGCCGCCGGCGGGTGGCAGGCTATTCCGGGCGGCCTCGGCCACTATCGGAGATCCAGCCGGGTGGCACGCGGCACTCGCGCTCCACTGGGCAGCGCGATCCACAACACAAACCCGGCCGGCGCCTGCTGGGGAGACGATGGAACAGGCGGGGCTCCCAGCGGTGACGGACAGCCGAGTGTTGAAGTTTTGATGTTTGACGGGAGTTACGGGTACGGCGTGTGGCGGTGGCAGGCTCCCTATTTCCGTGTCTGCGTCGGAGGGGCTGTCTGACACCTTAGCTTTATGGAGCTAACTGCGCGGCAGAGGCGCCGGTCCTTCCCCATCGGCCGCCTCCCGGCTGGCTGAGAAGGGAGCGGCGTGTCCCCGGGACCCGGAGCTGCCGGCGGCGGCAGAGGCGCGCGGTGCGGCCGCTCCTCCTCTGTGAGAGTAGCTCCGCCCGGCGTGGGCCGCCCAGCCCCCACTCCGGAGGCCGGGGAGATGGTCCGCCGCCGCCGCCCGGTGACCGGTGACCTTTACCGGGCGGCGGCGGCGCGCTGGGACGGGGGTGGCGGCGCAGCGCTCAATAGCTGCACCGGCCGGCCAGCGTACAAAGGTCACCAGCCACCCGCACCGCCCGCCGCCGCCGCCGCCGCTGCCGCCAACGACAGAGCCGCAGGAGAGCCAAGCAGCTCCGTCGCCAGGGGGACCGGCTCGCGCAGCTTTAGAGCTGAGTGGATGATGTTAGGTGTTCAAACTTAGGTGTTAGCTGTGTGGGTTGATACGAGAAAATGACGGCCGATTATGCATGGCACAGCCCAGTTCCGTGTCGTGTGGTGTGCTCGTGATGCATACCTGATCCCAGGTGACCGGTCGTTGACTCGTGGCCCGGCGGCTGCCATATGCAGACGGCAGGTCGCCCCCGCGGTGCAGCCGTCGGACGTTCCAGGCCGATGCGCCATTTCAGGTCGACTCGGCGTCGTCCGGGCTCTGGAGACATCCAGTGGTGGGCGTGCCCGGTCGGCGGAGCTGCCTCCGGGCTGGGGCGGGGGCGGCTGCTGGTGCCGCCCGGCTGACCGTCTGACCCAGTCGGTTGGGGCCGCCGACCTCTCCGTGGATCCGGCCCGGCCGCCCGTCCGGGTGTGTCGGGCCTTTTATAGAGTCCGCCCGCTGCCGAACCTCCCCCGCGCTGCCGCTTCACTGCCGGCTGGTGACGACACCGGTAGTGTGACGTCACTCGCGCTGTTTGACGTCACAGACGACCACTTCCTTCCGGCGATGAAACGTTTCTGGAACAGGCGTGGGCTGTAGGCTCAGTCTGAGTGCTTTTCCATCAATTCCCTGTATCTTTCCGACTCGGGGTTAAACAGCGCATCAGCCGACCACACCTGTCTTGACCAGGTGTCCGGGTCACTGCTACACCCCCAGCACCTGTCCTTACGAGCCAACCTTCCATACATTCTCGGTCCGTGTGTCGTGCAGGTGTCCCTGCCAACGACCTGACCGCGTTGCCTTCCTGCCCTGCCGGCGGCTCGGCTTTGCGTGCGGTGCCGCTGTTTTGCTCGGGCCGCGACTCATCACTGCGTGTTTTCCACGGTGCGTGCTGACGTGCTTTGTTTTCGGCTACAATTATGATTGAATCAGTCGGCCGTGAGCTCAGCCGAGCAGCGAGACAGGCCGGCAGATGTTGGGCGTAGCTTTGGTTTCACCGGAGAACGCCCTATCCCATCTGTTCCACATTAGTCAATCAAGCCACCGGCTGACAGACCTGCTTGTTGTTGCGTGTGATTATTGCGTAAGCTTTTAACCACGTTCTTCTTTAGCCGAGGTATTTCACCAATGTTGTGCAGTGCGCTGACGCCATTACCCCCGCCGCTCTCCCGGCGGGACTGGCGTGGGGTGTGAAGGGGCGGACTGGAACCAGGAGCAGCTGGAGCGAAGTGTCGTCTCGGTCCGATCAGTGTGGGCGTCTTGTTATCGGCTCAATGGTCCGCCCACGGGTGATCCCGCCGCGCGTCTGTCTGTCTGTGTGTGGGAGTGAATGGGTGTTGGCGGCTGACGTGCCCACAGCTGTGGGCGCGGATGGGGTATACCGGTATCGTACGTGCGTGTCTATCTGTGATGTGGTGGCTGTTTGTGTGCGCTGACGGGTGGCGGCGTTTGTCGTGTTGTGCTCTCGGGGGCGGACCGGCCAGCTCACGTCACGTTACGAGGTCGTCACGTCCGTCACGTGACTGCGTGTATGTTCACGAGGTTTGTATGTTAACCGCTGACGAGTGCTCCCTCCCTGCGTTTCAGCCAAGCGGAGCGGCAAGTCACCCAAACACCGGCGCAGAGACCTGTCCCCCGACCACAGGGCCTCTCCCAGCCGCGACTTTGCCGCCATCCGCCGGGAGGTCAGTCCACTGGGGTGGTCTCAGTTACCGGCTTGATATAGTAAACTTTCCATTACATCAACCGTCCTTATACGATGTCACTTGCATCCCCCAACAGCCTACTAAATGGCTCAATTTCAAACTTTGTTATTGCATTGCATTGCATGTTACACGTTGTGAAAAACTTGCGAATCGTAAAACTTTTAATGAGGAAGCGAATTGCGTTAAAAAGTGATATGATGTTTTGATGATTGGTTGGATCATTACGAAATACCGCACCTTTCATTATCATTAGAGCGCAGTGGCGACCTGCTGAAACCGAATACACCTGCGTGAAGGGAGAACCATCTGTCAGCCCCTGTATCTTTCCTTCTCTTCCTCTGAACGTCGGTGGACAATGCGACGTGGCAAAGTGAAGTCAGTCTCAGTCTCACTCGTTCCCACTCCCAGCGATACCTCTGACCTAGACCCGGACATTGGCGCGATGTTACTAAGGTCACGGAAGTGTGACATCAATCGCTTTAAGGGTGAAGCTTCGGTTGCCTTATTAGGACTATTAATTGCCGCCGTTGTTGAGCCAGTGTGCTGTGTTACATAATGTGGAGTTGTAATAAATGGATGTGTCTCATTACGTAAAAGGTGGTAATTCCAGAAGTGCTGCGTCAATTTGTATTTGTCACATGTATCCTTTTATGTTCAGCGTATTCAAGGTAGTTGTCGCTAACATCATATCCTGGTTTCCTTGTGTATGTATGCATTTTAGCCAAAATTACCACTTCATCAATGAGAGAATCATCTCATTAGGCCAAATCCAGAACAACACACATCTTACTTGTGTAAGGAAAAGAGCCAGTAGTGTTTGAACATGCGCTCAACTATGCACTCAGGCAGAGGTGGGTGCCATTTCCGGGCGATCGAACGTTCGCGTCAAGGTCAGATCCATACGGCAGACCGCCGCGCCGCAGTCAAAGGCTGTGTTCCGGGGGCACGCTCCCCGACCTTCGGCCCGGCGTGAGTCGGAGATGAGCTGAAGCGTGGTTGCGGAGGCTGCGGACCTTAATCGGGCGTCGATCGTTCTGAGTGCGGAGGATGGCCTGAAGGAGGCCCGGTCGGCGCCTGGCTGGCGGTGAGGGAGAGAAAAGAATCCCAACAGTCATCTCCGCCCTCACGAAGTCAGTGACTCCTGCATCTTGCCGCCCTCACGAAGTCAGTGACTCCTGCATCTTGCCGCCCTCACGAGTTAGCGACTCCTGCAACTCGTCGCCCGCACGAAGTCGGTGACTCCTGCAAGTCGACACCCTCACGAGTCCTCAGCTGCCCACTCGGGGCGGCGCGGACGGACCTGCTTTGTCAGCCTGATGACTCGGCTCGCATTGTTACGGCTGGTCAGACGACTGACGTGCTCGCATCGGCGACGGTCGATGTTCATCAGAGGAAGCCCTTTGCAGTCGTCTGACTAAACACAACCCAACTCTGGCCGATTGCTGCCGTTTCACGGCCTTCGCCATCCGACCGACCGTTTCGGCCCGTCTGATGGTTCCACGGCCGAGAGTGGAACTGAAAGACCGCCCGTCGGGTCGATCCGTCTTATTTCCCGGGACGGCGGAAGGTCCCGGCGCTGCCCGACGTGTCCTTCAGAGCTGTTGTGTGTCTCCACTGGGCGCACCATCCCCTCGGCTTCTCAAGCACAACGGAAGAAAGGCGGCGCGGGCGATGGACGGCGGCAAAAGGCTCCGTGGGCGTGGCCAGATACTGGCGTCTGTGACCGATATCAATCAGTGGCATGTCTCCGGCCGTGCAGCTCTACAAAAAGCCCGCATACGTGCGGTTTAATGGTCTGTTTTCCACGGTTTGGCTCCAAAGTTTCCCGGGTGTGTGGCTAGGTTTCGTGTCGGTCGTCCAGTAGGTTTCCTTTGCTGCAGTTTAGAGCGGTGGCTTACCAAAGCTGCTGTTCTCCATCTACCCAGCGTCCCCATCAGCGTCTTACACTGCCCTGAGCTAGCCGTGCCACTCGCCCAAGTTCCAGGACACTGCTGCAACTAATGAGTACAACCTATCGATAACGAACGCTGCGTGAAATACGACTCCCATAAGTACCATAGTGGATCGCACAAGGTATGGAAGGCGGATATGAGTATGTCTTATGGTAACGTTATTGCCGGTGTTGTAACCGTCCAGGTAAAAAGTAAGTAACCTGCTTCGTTAAACCTCCACTAGACTGACCTTCATGGCCTTCTTTATTAGCTTCACTGTGATCTATCGGTGGCTCTGCGCTGTTTCTGAATTCCGAGTAATCCAATGACGTGCGGTCAACACTGGCAGCAGTGCAGTGGTCAGGCCGGCTGAGCCTCCGCCGTCGTGACAGATGGTCGGCGTGAGAGAGGACGCTGCGTGGCCGTCTGCGCTCGGTGCAGCCTGCAGCGCGCGCCGCTGATCTCACACGCTGCACGGACCGACTGCGTGGCTCTGCGACGACAGCCTCGTGGGAGGCGGCGGCCGTCACCGCGCCGCATGGAGACGGGATGTCTGGGGCCACCAGACTCCGGCGCACACCGGCACAGTGCCGCCGCTCACCGGCCGGTGCTCTCTTCCGTACGCTGATCGGTAGCCGCGGCTGATGGGAGTAGACGGCTGCATCGCTGCACTCGATTGCGCATATGGGGAATGAGGGTGCGCACGAGCGACTGGATGGGCATCTGTTCTGGTACTTGCTGGTTTTGGAGCAGCGAAGCGGCTAGATGCGCAGATGGCCATGGCTGAATGGTTTGCAATTCGCGATGTGTGTTGATCAAGATTTCTGATCCGCAGTTCGTGAGTGATTTGCCGTGATCCATGTCTTGACCTTATCCGTGACCCTTTTGTCGTGAGTCGTGATAACTATGTCAAGTCATGAGACATTTCCTGCGCTCTCCTGAACCGTGACTTGTTGCTCCGTGAGTCGTGACTGCTGTCAGCCCACGGCCCGTGCCCGTGAGGTGGGGTAGGTACCGGGCCTGTTCTCTGTCCGTGACCGCCGCTGCTGCAGAGGCCGCGGCCGTCTGTCGCCCGCCTCCACGTGGGTCGCGGACCGGCAGTTCCCACAGCCCGGCGAATTGCTCCATCTCGCCCGCTGCTATCGGCTGATTGCCCCCACTGTCGGCCGATTGACCTTCGACTCTTCCTGCTTCGGCGGGCGCCGCTCGGCCCGACCGGCAGCCGCTGAGCCGGCCTCAGCAGAGGTGTCTCTCGGTGCCCGTAATAGCTGCCCCGCTCTCCCCTGCCGCGATCAGACGGCGGCGGCCGGCCGGGAGACCCACTAATGACACGGTCCCAGCCGCCGACCGAGGGCCGAGGGCCGCGGTGGGCCGGCCCTGGCGCTCTGTGGGCCGGTCTCGGCGGACCGGCAGGCCGCGGAGGCTGTGCCAAGTGACGGCGGGCCGGCCCTGGCGCCCTGTGGGTCGGTCTCAGTAGACCGTCAGGCCCCAGAGACCGCGTTGGGTGACGCGCCGCCGCCGCCCCGTAACCGTGCCATTCAGACCCGACACGCCACTTCCGCGTTGTCGCTCCGCCGTCGCCGCAGCAGCCATTGTTCGCGGCTGCGGCGGCGGCGGAGTCGAGAGCGACTCGGCTGACTCGACATGGCCTCTGACTCGGTCTGATTCACCGATGACAGAGACTCCGACGAGTCAGTTCGCGGGGTAGGGGGACCATTGTGGTAGATAATGGGCGTCATCCACTACGACGGGTCTTGACTCTCGTGTCTACGATTTGGACGTGTCTTTTCAGGATTTTAGAACTCATATTGTAGATCCCCGCCCCCACGTTAAATTCCATCTTTCTCGCACGCTCTACATATGGTGCGGGCCTGGTTTGGCCGCATGACATCAGCGGCAGTTTTTACAGCGCCCCTCGCCGTCCTTCGTTTGTCTTTCCGAGAGGCTGTCGTTTACCCGTCTCATTCTTCCCAGTTCTGCCCGTCATGGCTCTGTGTTTGTCTTGGCTCCGCCCCCGCTACGCCGCCGCATGTGACTGTGTTTGGAGACTTATCCTCGTCCATGTGCTGGCCTCATGAGGTCCGCGTCCTTGGGCGCGAATGTCGCGGTCGCCGGGATGACGGGACCGCTGCTCAACTCGTGGTTCCGTCTGCTGTGACCCAGGGACCGGTGTGGGCCGCCGCGGGCCGCTACACACGCCCGACGCACTGGCACATGGCGCTCACGACAGGCGGCGGTCGGCACAACGGTCTGCGACGGCAAAAACGCTGGCCCGCCGCGCCGCCGGTATGACGGCCCGTGTGTGCGCCGGCACGGCACGCCGGTCTGTGGGCAGAGCGGCAGCCGGCGCTGGGTGCGAGCTGTGCCACGGCAGAGCGGCGCACAGGAGCGCGGCGCTGAGCTGCTGGTTACTGGACGGGCTGACTGGAGATCGGAGACGGGATGAGAGACCTCGGCTGTCGACGCAGATGCACGGCGCCGCCGACAGCTGCGGCGCTGACGCTCATGCATCCAGACTATACAAACAATCCCAGGCAGCCGAGCGCCGCCGGTGCCAGGCGGTGCGATCATTATTGATGATAGTTCGGCGGCATGAGCTGAACGATTCCATATGATGAACTGCGCACCGGCTGGCGCTGTCTCGATATCTCGACATCCACCGGCGCGGTGTCCGGCCGCTCGCCGCTCGCCGCTCGTCTGAGCTCGGTCGTGTATGTGACGAGTTCGTGTGGGCACAGTCTGTCTGTCCGGGTGCAATTCGTGTGTCTAGATGGGCGCCACTCGTCTGCCTGTGTCCCATCTGTCTGTCTGGGCGTTCGAGGCTGTTTGTCAGAGAGTCGGCTCGTCTGCCGAGGCGCCGTTCGTTTGTCGTTTGTCACGACTGACCTTGGGCTGCGTCTCCGCGCGGCAGTCGCCGGCGGGCGGCTCGCTCGGCTGGCGTGCCCCAGGTCGTTCCGCGCCGACCCTTTTCCTGTTCCTGATTCACGGACCCGGCGACCCCTCTGGGTCGCCGGGCCGGAGCTGGCAGTGCCGGAGCGCGCAGTGCCAGACAGCTGGCAGGAGGCCACGTTCCGCTGGGACACACTCGCGACGGGGAAGTGCCGGCCGTTGCGCCGCTACCTGCCATCAAACAAACAGTCGGGCGCGCCCGGTCAGCGCCGTGGCGGCCTTGTCGCGCCGCTCTCTCTCTCTCTCCTCTCCCCGCTCTCTTCCCTCTCTCCTTGCTCTGGCTCACCGTGAGAACGGCCGCGCTCTGCACGGTGCAGGCTGTGCACTGTTTTTCCTGGCGCGGCGGCCGTCAGGGCTGTGTGACCCAGTGAGGGCGGGCGGCAGCGCGGCCGGCTGCCTCACTGGCCGTGTGACCGGGTGTTATGGGCCGTGTAAAAGCCGCCTGCTGGCGCGTGACCGTACAATGAGTGACCCTGGTTAAAGAGTGAAACTGAACTCGTGGACCCGAACCCTCGGGACATAGCGATTATTCGTGTATTTATTTATTGGTGCGATTCTTCCCTGATTCTTCCTTTCGCTTTGGCCACATGAACATGATACGCGTTTCTGGGCTCGTTTTGAACACATTGGCTTTGACTGTACGTGTTTCTGTCTTACGACCACAATGGGTGTGCCCATAAAGCTATAACGTGCCCTCGGTCACTACACCAGCCCCAGGTTTCTAACCGCGTATTTCTCCGTCCCTTCACCAGGTGGAGCTGTCGCTGAAGTACTACCAGGACGTGGTGCACAAGGGGATCCTGGAGATGCTTCCCGGCAGCACCACGGCAGTGCTGGAGACGGTGGTCCACCTGCACATGGTGCTGATGAACCGACTCGGTGGCGAGACCAGGTACGACGCGCGCGGCGAGCTGGTGTGGGCTGGTCTGGTCTAGTCTAGTTCGGTCTAGAGTCTAGCTTAGTCTAGTCTAGGCTAGTTTAGGTAAATCTAGTCTATGCTGGTTAACCGGGGTTCTGTGGGCTGGGCTGGCCTACAAAGCCTGACCCGATAATGTCTGGCATTTGACAACTATACCTGACTGACCTGACCTAGCCCTGTCTGTTTAACCTGACTTTACACCTGACCTGTCTGGTCCTATTGAACGGTCTAGCTATCTTAGATCGGGTGGATTTGAGAATCTTTTGTGCACCCGGGGCAATAGACCTATTTCCTTTGTTGTTCTACATCCGCCGAACTACCATAGATGGTGGAACTATCATCGATGTTTCCGTGGTCCCTGCTCCCTAGCGGGTCGATCCAGGCATTCGGATGGTCAGAGGGGCTGTCAGAATGTCCGATCTTGAATAAACGCTTGCCCGCGGCCGCACCAGTGACCTGGAAGCTGCGCCACGAGTCTTATCTTCATGAGTTTACTGTCAGTTTGGCATACCGAGTACATCGGCCGCCCCATTGTTTCGCTGTGGGCTGCGCTCTCTGGGTGTCGTCTGGTCGGTGGGTTGCGGGGGCGGCGACAGCGTCGTACGGTGCCGCGCCGCTCCGACCTGCCGCCGTGGGCTGCGCTCTCTCTGGGTGGCGGGGGCGGCCGGACAGCGCCGTGCGGTGCCGCGCCGCCCGGCACGCCGGTCGATCGGCGGACGGACGCGAGCCGCCGCCGCCGCCGTGGGACCGAGAGCAGGCCGCTCCGCCGCTGCCGCCGCTGCAACCACCGATGACACAAAGTCGTGATGACGGAGCCGCGATGACGGTCACCGTGACGCCGTGCGGCACGTGCGTCACGGGCGGTGCGTCACGCCGGCCGCTGTGGCGCCGCGGATCGGACGCGGCGCGCTGGACTGATCACAGCGCCGCTCACTCCGGCTGGCGGGCAATTACGGCCACTCGCCTGATTGCGCCGACCGATCGGCCGGCCGAGGCTGCCGTCCAGCCCCCGCCGCCGCAGCGCTCCGGCGACAAATTAATGACCCCGCCAATCGCCGCGCCATTTGCGGACGGACCCGCCCATCCAGTGCACCGGTTTCTCTCCCGCCGTTTTTCGCTCGCGCCGTGTTCCGTTCCCGGGGCTAGCGTCCCTCTTCGTTCCACTCGCCGCCCCGTTCCGCTCTCTTGGTCGCCCATTTTTAATTACTGACATTCTCCTGACAGATGCCACGTTTTCACATTTGCGGACATTTGGTATTCAGTTAATGGTCCTGTGTTTTGCTTCCGCCATTGTTCTTCAATCCTTGTCACACTCCTTTTATGGAAGGGAGTGACTTTCATAGCCTTATCTGTCAATATCGTGCCAATCATCAGAACCATAAGTTACTTGTGCCGATATCTATGTGCTTGACCATGACATCACTTCCTGCGACCTTTGTGAGTGTTATGCGTGTGATTCACCAATAACCGGTGACCGATGACCTCGTTACACACCGTGCACCAGCTGGGTATGATACCTGTATGATACCTCGGTGTGATACCCTGTAACCGTTGCTAAGTATATCCGACTGACGCCTCCGTCTCCTCTCTGGCAGTCCGGTGGCCACGTCGTCGACGCAGCAGCTGAACCAGTCGCTGGCCGACCTGGTCAGCTGGTCCAACAACGTCCTGCTGTTCGGCCTGACGCCCGGTCAGACGGCCACCGAGGTGGTCAACGGCGTCAGGAATGCTGTGGCGGTGAGCAGAGGGAGGCGGGCGGGGCCGCGGATCGTATCAACACCCACCGCGGGCCATGTTTGGACGGCTGTCATGATGGAGAATGAGTCCGCGCTGATTAAATCGGCCCGGTCCAGTTGGTTAGTAATGTTTGGATGTTAAATGGTGGTTTTTAATTCGGTTTAAGGGACAGAGCCGTTAGGAGTTGACCACTCATTCGTTACGTTGGATGGATTTGGTAGTGATAAGGCGGGTGCCTATTTGAGATTAGAAAAAGTGAAGTGTGACATGACTGATGGCTCGGCAGCAGAGGCCACACACGTCAGCTATTTGAGCTATCGCTGCACTAATCGTTTGGCCGTGCGTGTCGGGCTGAGACCGTTATCCGGTGCACGCTGCACTTTGTGATGCAAGTCAGTCCATTACCGAGCTATCAGCTGTTAATCCCAGTGGCCGCTGTGTGGACTGCTAGGTTAGGGTGCTGTACCACCGGTAACACTGAGACTATATCCGCCGAGCTGGGCCGGGCTGGGCGCGGCGTCAGCACAGGAAAGTGAACCGTCTGTGCCAGCCGGGGACGGCCCGGGGGCGTGGCGGGCCGCCGCGCCCACCCCGCTGTGAGCCCCGGATGCAGGTATCTCGGAGATATAGCGCCCAGATTGACAGACTTTCCTGCACCGGAAAAGGCCGTTGGCCTTTGTCGCTTATCAGGTTATCAATGGCGCAGCAGTCCAGCCGCACATGTCTGAGATTTCTGCGGTCACAGGATAGGTAGATGTAGACCACAATGCGTAACTCTGGTAAACATGCGACCGTCACAAGGAAATGAATGGCCTGAAAACCCCACCAGTCATTCTGGGTAATGACGCGTTTTACTAATCTTCTTGTCAACAAGGTGTGAACGTCAATGGGTCAGCCACAATCCAACGAGCATGGCGTGTCCCAACATGTGCCTGTAATTGTGACGCTTTCGGACTTCCATGACACTAGGATCTAACCTCTTCCCTCTACATCTTTGTGTTATTTTCCCTTCCTCTTTCTGACCCTCACTGACTCATTTCCTTCACTCAATTAGCTGAAGTCGTTGACGTTGACCTGGCCTAATCGGAACTGAGATCCTCACCTGATTTGACCTGACCTGACCTAACGTTATACGCTGTCCCCAGACGCTGGTGCAGGTGGCCGATGACGGCGTCGGTGACTTGGCGCGCCACAGTCGCACCGTGGACCGGGCCGAGCGGCGCTCGCGGGCCGCCGTGCACCGCAACTCGCTGCCGGACCTGAGCGGCGACAAGCCGGCCATCGTGCACTGCGGGCCGCACTACTCGCTTAGTAATGACAGCGTGCTGGAGACGGGCGAGCCGCCGCCCAAGCCGCCGTTGCCCGGCCGGCCGGCCTCGCTCTCCGACGCGCCGGTGGACGCCGCGCCGCCGCTGCCGCCCAAACGGCGCTCCAAGAAACAGAGCTCACCGGCGCCCGTCACATCCACACCGGCCCGAGCTCAGGTGGGGAGAGAGGAGGGAGAGGGAGACAGAGACAGAGACAGAGACAGAGACAGTCTGATCCGATAGCTCATCGAGTCAATTTCAATCAGGGATCGTTATTCGTTAATTCGATTCCTACTCTGAGTCAGTCACGTCAGTTTGATTCTGTCGTGTGACGTGGTTGGCAGACGGACGTAATGCGGAGATTATGAGGAAATCACTGATCGTTACTCACTTGACTTCGTTTGATCATGGCTGTCGGAGCTGTGTGTCAGTTGACCGTTCTGACCGCTCTGACCCCTGTGTGTGTCAGTTGATTGCTCTGACCTCTCCCTTTGACCCTTTGTGCGTCAGCTGTTCGTCCTGACCTCTCCCCTGATCTCTGTGTTTCGGCTGACCGACCTGACCTCTCCCCCTGACATCTATGTGTCAGGTGACCGACCTGACCTATGTGTGTCAGCTGACCTTTCTGATCTCCCTCTGACCTCGCAGCTGTCAAAGCGGGGCAGCTGGGACGAGTCGGGTGGTCGCGCGCCGACGCTCGGGCACGGCTCGGCCGCCCAGCGGCGCAACAACTCGGTCGGCGGCGGCGCGGGCAAGCCCTGGAGTGCCAGCAAGTCGCCCGACACGCTGTCGCCGGCTTCCAGTATGGACTCGGTCCTGAACCACTCCCAGGTGGGTCGGCGGGGCGCAGGGTAGGCCGGGGCAGTTGGCGATTGGACGGGCGGACTCGGCCAGAAGTTTGATTGAGTTGTTTGCTGGAGTTATTAGACGCTGTTTGAGATGGGACGGAAGTGTTGTGTTGAATGTTGATTCATAGTGTGTATGTCTGGTGCTGTTCTTGGATTCTGTAGTTATGCTAGATGCTGGGCGATGGGATCGACTGACCTCACGCGCTGCTGTGTTTTTCAGGAGGAGTTTGTGACGTGGAACAAGCACGGCAGCTACAGCAGCATCGGTAACTCGTCGGGCAGTTCGACGCGCGACTCGCGGCTGGAGATGGACTCGACCACGTCCGACTCGTCCTTCTCCAACCTGGGCCTGGACCAGTACGGCAACTGGGTGCCGGCTGCCGCCGCCGGCCGCCGGCCCGACATCACAGCCATCACCCGGCAGCTGCGGGAGCTGAGCGCCGCCGCAGAGCCGGCCGGCGGCCGACCCGAGAGCGGCTTCGTCTCGCTGCAGAGTCTGCAGAGCTCGGGCAGCGGGGTGGGCCGCGCACCGGCCGCCGCCAGCCCGCAGGCCAGTCCCCGGCCGCCGGCCGCGCCCGCCGCCGGCCGGGCCGGCTCCGCGGCCGCCTCAGCCGCCGGCGCCGACGTCTGCGACTCGGCCGGCGGCGGCGAGCACACGGTGACGCTGAGCGTGCCGCCGGCGCTGCCGCCCAAGCGTCGCTCGCAGCGCGGCCCGCCGCTGGGCCACTACGACAACATCCCGGCCGGCGGCGTGAGCGCCAGCTGCAGCCTGGACGGCGTGGTGCTGCGGCACCGGCCGCGACACTGGCACGACGCGGACGACTCCCGGCCGCCGCCGCTGCCCATGAAGAAAAAACATGGTACGCCGCGCAGAGTCTAACTAAGTCAGTTCCATTTGAGACTGCCCGTGCTTTTTGTCTGTGAGACTGGGTTAGGTGTCACAATGGAGCACTAGGCCAGTTTTTTCTATAAAGTAATGTGAAGTTTATCTGTGGCCTAGCATTTACTGAAAGGCGCTGTTTTTCCTACGGCTACCACTTCTGCCGATTATTTCTCATTATCAAACCGCATCCGCTCTTCACTCCCCTCTGACCGATCCGCCCACCTCTCTCCCCAGTACAATCGTACATGGAGATGATCGGCGACTATTGCCAGCCGTCGCAGGCAGAGTTTCTGCGGCAGTCGGCGCTGGTGCACCGCAGTTATGCGGCGCGCTGGTCGCGCAACGAATTCGCCGCGGCGCGCAGCTGTACCGTGGCCGAGCACCTGCGCTCCAGTAGCGACGACAGCGGCGAGGGAGAGCCCTTCGAGCACACGTGAGTGGGAATATGGGGAGGGGGAGGAAAGCGAGTTTCCGTGGGTGGTAAGCAGAGGGAGGCGCTACGGGGTAGGCCTGGTTTGAAGAGGGATAGTGTTAGATTTGTCTAGTGCTGCGGAGTAAATGTTGAGTACGACTAGGATGGGGATGAGCGTAGACTGTGAAGTGACTTTGTTGCGTAGAAGGAACGGCCGTTGGGGTGTATTTAGTAACGGAGAAATGTGTTCGCTTACTGCTCGTACTTCAGCCTTCGGTGCTCTCTAGCCAGTTTTTAGGTGGTCCCTGCCATTTTAGTATCTCCATCGGTCCATGACCGTGCGCTGACCATAGTCTCGTCTCTCCCCATTTCCAGTCCTCTTGTGGAGGAGTTGTCGCCGCCGGCGCTGCCCCCGAAGCGGCGCTCCGGCAGCGTGTCTCGTCAGTTCAGCCCGCCGCCGACGCCCCCGCCGCCGCCGCAGCCGCTGACACCCACCTCGGGAGCTGCGCACGGCGCCCTGCCCTCGTAAGAACGCTGAGACGTCCGCCGCGCGCCGGGCCGGGCTGGCGGGTCAGCGGGGATAGGACAGGATCAAGTGGCTTGACTATTGACCACTTTTGGTGAAGTTGGACGATGAAAGATTACGGCAATTTATTTCTGTCAAGAGTTTTGCCTATACACAATGGATTTTCCGTTGTAGTAACATTTTAAGAAATATCTTATTAAAATGTGACACGTAACCAGTTTAGTGCTCCTGCGTCATAGCACTGCTTAATGAGAAATTGAATGACTCGTCTTCATAACTATGAATCAAATCTCCCAGCACTAGGATAACTGATTCGTCTCACACACCACTAACTGCCACTCCTGTTCCGCAGACGGCCGTCGCAGCCTCCCCCTCCCCCACCTCCCCCTCCCCCGCCGCCCCCCGCCCCGGCGGCGGCGGCCGAGCCGGCCACGGCCGACTCTGCTCTGGACTCTCTGGACGTGCAGTCGCTGCTGATCACCAAGCAGCCGCACGAGGAGGGGCCAGAGCTGCGCGGCGGGCCGGTGGACGCCCTCGTGGCACACGCCACCAAAGCCAACAGGAATGGTGAGTTGGCGAACGGCTGACGGGTGGGGGCGGGAGGAGTGGCTTCAGCTGCCGCTGCTGATGCTTCCGCTGCTAACTGCTGGTTATGAAGCGAATGATGACGTTGCTGCTATTGACGCTTGAACACGCAGTTTTCCACTGGCCGTAGCCAGTCACGCCGAAGCTGCCTTGATCCGCCTAACTTGCTGCTGCTACTCGGCTGAGAGAATGACAGACTGAATTAACACACCAATACTGACACTGGCACCGGCACTGCACTCACCAACGCATGGGGTGGCCGGCACTTCAACTAACCAGTTCCTTTCATTCCACTAACACCTCAGTATTAGTTCTGGGCGATAGTCCACCCATCATTCCGCGAACTGTATCATATCCATCAGCCAATTCACTGGCGTCAGTGCGCAGAAGTCGCCTCCCGCCGCTGTGCGGTGCACGGTCGGCGCGGCAGTCGATCAGCCCGGGCGCTGATAAAATAAACGCCGCCGGTGATTATGGGTCGGATCGAGGAGGGGCGTTGACGGCTGTTTAGTCGCCGTCGACGCCGGGAGTGTGAGGCTGCTCCGCCGACCGGCGCTCTCTTAGTTCTGACAGACAGACCGATAGGGAGGCATCGGGACTCAGACACGGTTCACAGAAATTAGAACTCTGCTCGCATTCGGCAGCCATAGCAAAATATTCGCATACCAGTATATGTATTTTTAGTTTGAACCTGCACCACTGGAAGTAGCCATTCGGAAGTGTTAGCAGAACCGCTTAGCGCGACTGCTGCGCATTGCTATATTCATGCTGCGGCAATCCGAGTGGAGTAGAGTACATGCTGCGAGTAGCTTGCTGGAACGGCTGTGTGATGGGCCTCACGGAGTACCGGTCCGGCCGAGCAGAGCGCGCCGTTGTGGCCTGGCGCGCAAACACAGTAGTGTCGGGGGCTTGCCTTGGGGGAGGGGCCGTGGGGGAGGCTCACATTTGACCCTTGTAATGAAGTACTTAGAGTCGTCTTGAGAGGGCTGATGTAGATAATTACCACTAGATGTACGGAATGCCTTTGTTTGATGTCAACACATCGTTACGTATACTAGTCGCGTTTGTTTGACGTATATTACTTTGCTTTCCTTATTTACTTTTTCTGTGTCCTAACTATACTTAATAACTTTTTAAATGGTTGCAATCATTCAACTAAAAACTAACACTAAAATTAATATAATGCTCGTAATTGTTCAATACTTCGTTTTTTAAAGTAGATTTATAATATAAACTTGTATCGCATCATGTAATATTGAATCAGTATGAGGGCAATTATACAATATCAGCTACGCTAAGAAGCCCGAACTTTCCTCGCTGTATAGGATTCATTTGATGCACATTGAATAGACAATAAGGTATATTGTATAGGCATGGTATAACTATAGCAAGCCAGCTCCTCGGTACCCCATCGAGCTCTTGTCTTCTTTCGAAATAGTTTCATTTGCATATGCCAACTTCATAAAAGATAAACCGCAAAATTGGTTCCATATTATTCAGTGCCTGTTCTCACAACACTGAATCCGCCTACCCACGCAAGTGGGTAAAATTGTTATGGTTCCATTGGAGCTCCATGAACGCTAACGTTTCTGCGTCCATCTGCCAAATGCTCTCGCTGGTAAAGTCCGCCTGTGCTGGCTGATATAAGCCCTTGTCTCTCGGTGGTTCAGTGTTGTGAGAATGGCCTGTGCCGCGGTGCCGGCACGCAGCCGGGCGGCCACACACGTCTGCTGTGTGTCCATCTGTCTGTTTGTCTGTATATGTGTGGCGACACGCGGCCGCGGCCGCTGGCCGGCCTGCCTTTTCTCACCGTCATACCGTTCTGCCCACCGCCGTATAGCTTATTACTGTCCGTCTTTCGCGGCGTCAGAGGAGCACACCAGCGGTGAGTAGCTCACGCCCGCCCTCTCTCCCTCTCTCCGACTCTTACCGTGTCACCCTTCGGTCTGTCTGTCTCTCCACCGCCGCGCGCGATGGCGGCCTTTCCTTCCCCTCCTCCCCGGGAGCTCTGCTTACCCAACTTCACACCATCTGTCGGTCTGTCTGTCTGTCTTTGAGCGTGGCCTGACCGCTTCTCCATCTATCCAGATCTTACTTTCATACTGTCCCTCTCTCACATCTGTCTATCTGGCGGGCTAATGCGGGCAGCGGGGCGCCCGTTTGGCACAGAGGGCTGCACATTGCACCTCGCACAGGCTGCACAGTGTGCACAGTGCACAGTCTGCGGGTGATATAACCCCGTGTGTATATTTCTCTAACCGAGTGGAAAGCCGAAGATACGGGCGGCTTTGTATTTTACGCGCACCCGGCCCACTAATCATGAGCTTCGAAAATCTCCGATTTGCTCCGTCAGCGGCTTTCAATCTGAGATGAGATCCCGTTATTTTGAGTTCAATGACTGGAGTGTTAGTGTGTTTGATCCCTCCATTTTTGAAATGTGTAGTAATGTTTTAATCCTAACGACACTGTGACCAGTGTGAACGAACGGAGGGACAGACTAGACGGTTGCGTGACTGGTCAATCGCTTTATCCTCATGTCCGGCCCTGTTAACCATCTCCGATATCAGATGAATCTCGAACGACTTTGAAATCTCCTGTCCTCGACCCGTCTTTTGAGTTCATTTTCCGAATGATGACATGATACCTACGATGACTTGTCGTGTCAGCTATCAGATAATAAGTTCTTTTTGCCATTTTTTGTTAATCATTTTGTTCTGTCAATGGTCAGATTGCTGTCAGCAAGCGTCGTCCTTTTTGCTGTATTTGCGTCAGTTGTTAAAAGTGCCTTCAGACAAGATCAATAATTGGATAACGTACCTACCTAAATATCAATTCAATAACGTACGGTAATGTGTGACCGTCATAGTGGTCTCGTTCGGTGACATCCGCGACCAAACTTAGTTAGGCCGGCGTCGTCTGCGCCTCTGTCGACGTCGACGCCTATCGACGATTCGTGGTAGCCGCCGCATCGGCGTAGACTTCTGAAATACCCGGCAGTTGCGGAACCGCAGCTCATGAAGCATTGCGTCAGCTCTGCGCGACGCAGTTCTCAGAGCGCTCCGCCAATCTCGAGTCTGGGCAAACAGGTCATGTTGGATCTGTTTTATTGGATTCCGCGGCCGGGTGAAGTCCGCGCTGGTGCGGTGGTTACCCGCTGTGAGTCCCCGTAGCCGGATGTAGTCCGGTGTTCTGCAGCCCCCGACTGACGGTCCCTCTCCGTCCACCGCCGCCGCAGACTTTGTCTACCAGGAGGCGTTCCTGACCACCTACCGCACGTTCCTGTCGTCGGAGGCGCTGGTGGAGCGCCTGCTGTACCGGTACGGCGCGTTCCAGCGCTCGCAGGACCCGGCCCGGCAGCGCGCCGCCAAGAACGCCTTCTCGCTGCTGGTTCGAGTCGTCGACGACCTGGCGTGAGTAGCGAGCGGGAGTGGAGTGGGAGGGAAGAAGCAGAGGAGGGTGGATAGATGTGCTGGGAATGGGCACAAGCGAGGTGTTTCGTGAAATTCGATTAAGTGCTCAGGATTCTTGCAGCTGTACCTGTGCATATTAAGAAGAGACGAATGATCAATCTGATTTGCATTACTGCTATTCTGGCAGCATTACCTGGTATTCCTCTCCGCTCCGACCTATTCTATGGTCTGGGGTTATATAATTTATCCGAAGGCTAACAGGATATCTGTTTCTGTTGTGTTTTCCTATCGTTTGTCTGACCAGACCCGGTGTTAGCGTTCGTCTGATGTGACCCGGTGCTGCTGTTTGTCTGGCCTGTTGTCTGACTTGACCCCTTGTCCGGCAGGTTGTCTGACCTGACTCAGAGCCTGCTCAGCACGCTGATGGAGTTCGAGGTGGCCCTGCTGAAGAGCGGCGACCTGATGTTGGCCAAGGCGCTGCGCAGCAAGATCCTGGAGAAGCACGAGACCAAGCGGCGTCACGACAACCCGCCCAAGGAGCTGCCGGCACTGGACGATCCGGCCGCGTGAGTGCCGCGGGGTGCAGGGTACACACACCCTAACAAGGGGTGATATGGTGATACGAGGCAGGCGATTAGGGTGTGTGTTTGCAGGGGATACCAAGGAGGCTGGAGAGGAGGAGGAGAGGTAGGTAAGGAGAGGAGAGGAGAGGTATACCAAGGAGGAGAGCGCCGGACGGATGGGCAGAAGAGGACCTCAAAATGGTTATAAATGGTTATGTGATTGTTGGGAAGTAACCCTGTCGTAGTGGAGATTATTCGGAAATAGGCGAGTTGGTGGAAGCTCGATGTAAAACCAACCATATTGTGGTTCGGTTTATAGACATCTTACCTCGCCGTAGGTCTAGCATGATACGATTAAACCCTACATACGTGATCCTTGCTGTCAGACTGACTCCCCCCTTCCTTTCGTCCGCAGGCCGGCGCGTCAGCCGACGCTGCTCGACTTCAAGTCGGAGCACCTGGCGGAGCAGATGACCCTGCTGGACTCGAAGCTGTTCGTCAGCATCGAGATCCCCGAGGTGCTCATCTGGGCGCAGGAGCAAAACGAAGAGAAGTCGCCCAACCTGACCACCTTCACCGAGCACTTCAACAAGATGAGTTACTGGGCGCGCAGTCTGATCCTCGACCCGCGCGAGGCGGCCAAAGATCGCGAGAAGCTCGTCCTCAAGTTCATCAAGATCATGAAACACCTGCGCAAGATGAACAACTTCAACTCGTACCTGGCCATTCTGTCGGCGCTGGACAGCGCGCCCGTGCGCCGACTCGAGTGGCAGAAGCAGATTGTCGAGGCGCTGAACGAGTACTGCGCTCTGATTGACTCGAGCAGTAGTTTCCGGGCGTACCGACAGGCTCTGGCCGAGGCCACGCCGCCCTGCATCCCCTACATCGGGCTTATCCTGCAGGTCAGTGGTGTCCCGAGCACAGAGGGACGGGGATTGGGCGTATGTTAGCTGTCCCGAAACAGAGGTGTGGGGGCTGGAACGGGGCTTGTGGGAGTAAGTTTGTTTGAACTGTACTTCGCAATGGAGTCGTTGCATTGATATCAGAGCTGATGGTTTTAGTCACTGCGGTGACATTTTAGACGTTTGTGGTCGCCCGCGTTCTATTTTTCTATCCCTTTGTTGCTGTGCGTCTGATGTGCTGTATTGTGTTTCTTTGTCCGCAGGATCTGACGTTTGTTCATATTGGTAACCCGGACCTTCTGCCGGACGGCTGCATCAACTTCGCCAAACGGTGGCAGCAGTTCAATATCCTTGACAACATGAAGCGCTTCAAGAAGGCCGGGTCAGTATTCGACACCGGCGCGCCATGGATGCATTTTGAGCTAAAGTAAACACTGATTATTGCAAGATTTATCGTCATCGTAGTGGATTAAAATATGACATAATTTTCATGCTTCGCGTGTTTACCGGACGTTGGTAGCAATCTCGCTATCACAGCATATTCTCGGCTGATCGTAACGAACATACATAGGTAACCGCACCGGCTGATTTCTGACAACCGTCATTTTCCACTCTCACAGGCAGTACCAGTTCAAAACCAACGACCGAATCCTTAGCTTTTTCGACAACTTCGACAAGAGCTTCACGGAGGAGCGCATGTGGGAGATATCGGAGTCGATCAAGCCGCGCGGACGCGCCAAGAAGACGTGAGCGCGCCGCCAGCGCCTCTGGTGGTCGAGTCGGTCACCCCAGCCGCGGCCGGCGCCGACAGGTGGCGGTGCGGGCGCCGGCCTGCGGCCCTCTCAGTGCAATGCGGACGGCGCGCCGCCCCGTTTGTATGCACACGTGTCTAGTCAGTCCCGGGCGCGGCCGAGCGGCGCCGCCCCTCGGGCGCTCGCCCGAGACGATATTAATCACCGCTAGAGATTGTTGACTGCGATAGTGTTCCGTTATTATTGCTGGCCTGCGATAGCGTTTCGTTATTGCTGCCGGCCGCCGCCCATCCGGTCCCTCACGCATAATAATCAAATGTGTTTTATTTGCCGGTTGCGCCGCGGCCGATCGGCGTTTGCCCGCTGTGATGCGCTGGTCTCTAGTCAGGGCCGTCAGCTCTTGCGCGCGTCAGGGGTAGGTGTACCCGCTTTAAGTGCGCTCGGCGGCCACAGTCGGACTGTGTGAGACGCGCGTGAGTGGTCATTTAGTGGGTCTGCGTGTGTGTGTGAACCGTCGTTTTATTCGGCGCATAACTTGTCATTTGAGAGGTATTGTTTCCACGCGACGCATTGTTTTGTATATAAATATTTGTTCATCGTATGGAAGTGTGTATTTTCTGGTATCATCGCTCGAGCATCAGAGCTCTCAGCTCGTCAACGCAAGCTCAGAGCACGCAACTCGTCATCATCGCATCTCGTCGCCAACTAACAAAGTCAATATTGGGGGCGACGGTTATATGCGTATCGGTCTTTCTGAAACTATCCCACCGACAAGACCAATTACTATCGCAAGCACGCCGCGCCTTGCGCAGGAAATGTTGGTCGTTGGGTACCCCAACTTTTTACAGTAAAGTAGTTACGAGTGACCCGAGTAGCTTTCGACGTCACGCATACAGCTATAGATTTTTTATATATAGAAATTTAGCTCGAATGTTCAACTGAACAGAATGACTGCTGGAGCTCGCGCCCAGTAGAGCTTGTGTGGACCCTGACTCCTACCGTCCGATCGCGCAATTCCAGGTAACGGCCAACCGGGGAATCTACATAGGTGTCGAAAGTTAAACGTGCCCTTCAAAGTCGGGCATGACCTGCCCCACTCAACTGACTTCAACTGGCTGTGGCTGTCCCCACCAACCGCAGACCATCCCCGTCAGGAGTCTCAAATATCGAGCGCCGGAGCGATTCGAACCCGGGCTCACTACCGGGAGTACCACGCTCTACATACCAACTGAGCTACTGGACATACTCGAGATGACCAGAAACTTGTTGCCTCTTGTGTCATTTACAGCTAGACCTCTCAGCGTTTTCTGCAGTTGATTGCAACATTCCAATGGTAAATCCCACAAAGAACTGATAAGGGCTCGTCCAGCGCTCCGAAACTCTGAAGAGCTCAGACATTCTGTCCCCATCCTCCAGTCTGTAGAGGATAAATTGCTGAACACGACCCCTTAACAAATGAGCGTCCAACGTTCCGATTAAAAAGGTTCCGATTCAAGCTTGAAGCTTGGACGGCGGAAACTGTAAAATCATCGTTATCTCAAGATCAGTAAGCTTTTCCTCGCAAGCCTCAGTTATCCACGAATGCTGTGGATTCGTTGGAAATAACCTTCCTGCAACGACGTTCCGTATTGACATTCCGTCGGATTGCATGAAGCGTAGACATGACCCATGCCACTGATACCCAAACTAGGCTGAATTGTCACGCGCGAGAGCAGAGCCGGTCGTACTTTGTGTAAGACAGTTATATTTCCTTTCAGTGACCAGCCAATCCTGAGTTACAGGGATGATAGGCGATACAATGGCGCAAACGACACCGCGACTCCCATCCGTTATAGCAGCCACCCACGGGGTGGTAGATTTGTCGCAGCCGCTGCGCAGAGTCCATGCTTCACACACATTAGCGATATCACAGCCACAAGACAGTCCCGCCGACCGCACACGGCGACACGGGCCCACACGGAGGGCGTATCCCGCCAGCACCCAGTCAATGCGCACCCACCGGAGTGCCGGTCTGCCCGCACCCTGTCAGTCCCCAGAACTGGACTCACACCACCACGCACCACTCACGGCAAGTTCAGTTTCTTTTTCACCCGTCGCCGCTCTCGCCGCTCTTTGGTCGCTGCCGGCGGCGGGTGGCAGTGCCCGTTGGTGAGCGGGGGCGGCGGCGGGGGCGGCGGCGGGGAGACCGCCGGCGCCGCGCCGTCCCCGTTCTCCAGTCTCCTCAGCGGAGAGTACGGGTTACTGACGGCGGCCGGCGCGGCGGCGGCGCCGCGCCGGCTCACGAACGCCACGGCCGGGGACGGCGGGCCGGCGAACAGCACGCCCACGCCGGGCACTGCCAGCTGCTGCGCCTCCTCCGAGTCCACCGACCAGGTGCTCGTGGAGCGCATCAGACGCCGGGCGCGGCGGCCGCCGTCCGGCGCCGGCCCGCCTGCCGATCCCTCAGAGATCAGCAGGTCGTGGTATGTCCCTGCCGAGAAACAGGCGGACAGGGGTTAGACTCGGTCGGAGTACGGTACTCAACAGCCGGTACATCGAGAAATACACGGCTATTCGTCGTCACGAGCAACGAATCCTTGCTCAAGAAGAATGCACACACTGAGACTGATGTCTACACGACACGTCCTGAGACTAATTTGAGTAATTACAAACATAACGTAGAAATGAAGACACTGCTCGCTGAATTCGTCCCCCGCCAGACCTACCAACTACCTGCCCTCCCGACCTCCATCTGTTCTGCACCCGGGACCGCCACTGCTGCTACCTCTGCCACCCGCTGAGCTGCGTACCTGATATGTTGACCACCTCGTCACTGGGCCGGCGCCGGTGTTTCTTCTCCCGGCCGTCTGTGGCGACCTCCCGCGGCTGGCGGCGCGCGGCAGCCTTCTCCTGGCGCGCCGGCTGGGTGGTCTGTTTGGCGGCGCGCGTGGACGGCAGCCGGCCGACGCCGGCCGCCCGCCGGCGGCGCAGACACAGCATCAGCGCCAGCGATAGCACCAGCACCTCGACGGCCATCAGCACCATGTGGCGCTGCACCAGCTGGAACACGGCGCGGCGGGCCGGCGCGGTTAACACAGTGGAAAACAGTGAGCCATTGTGAGCTAGATGATGGACATCGGAGTAATGTAATACCAGCGACGAAGCCATTCTGAGGCCAGCCAGTGACCAGTAAGAGAAATATGGACGACACAATATCAGGCGTTTAGCGTAGACCTTACAACTGATCTGTAGTCAGTCAGTACGCTATGTGATTCACAAAAAAATCACCACAACCGTTTCATACGTGCACCTAACCATAACTGAAAATCACCAAAACACGTCTCAAAAGAAGTTCAATAAGCCTATACATTTTCTTCACTTTGTTCAGCCCGCCCGCCATCCTGCCCAGAGTCCGCGACCTGTCTTCCCTCGCCTTCATTCACGGCAGTGTCCACAAGACCACAGCGGCCGCCTACCTTCCAAGTGACGGCCTCCTTTTCTGCCAGGACGCCGGCCACGGCCGTGGTCAGCTCGAGAATCTGGCTCTGCAGCGACCGGATCATCTCCTGCTGCAGCTCGTCCCGGCTCTCGGCGTCACGGGCTGTCGAGCGGACGGGAAGAGTTAGTGCGGAGAGGGGATAAGTACGGCGTCAGTATAGTAAACCAGGATCAGGGGCCGTATTCACGTCGATTATTTTCGTAGGAATTTCCTTACGAATGACCTACTTCTTAAGCATTTTTTTTTTAATCACGTGAACTCCGTCGATAAAAACTTAAGAAGGGTCGACGTGAATACCAAATTATCCTTACGAAAGAAAATCGACTTACGAAGTCGACGTGAATACGGCCCCAGGACGAGAGACAGGCATAGGTATAGGGCGGCATGCCCCCACTCATGGCAAGCAATTCAGCAAAAACAAAACGTGTAGCACAAATCGCGTGTTTGATTTTGATGTCAAATTCACAAAGACGATCTGACATCAGCATCGAACTAACCTCACAAATGAAACAGTAAACTTAGAGTTCATTTTCATCATTCGTAATGAAATCCAATTCACCGAAAGGGCAACGCATCAGCTACACTTTTTCAAGCGTTCATTTCCTGCTGGTTCTTACCAGTGACTTCCAGCGCGGCGATGGTCTTGTTGAAGGTTTTCTGCATCTCCTCCACCTGCTTCTTGTAGCGGCGCGACAGTTCGTCCAGGTACTGCTGGCTCAGCGACATGTTCAGCTCCAGCGCCTTGATGCGGTTGCTGAGGCGGACGAACACGGACTCCTTCTGCGCGGGCGGCGGGTCGGTGGTGGTGGTCGGCGGCGCGGCGGTCGTGGTGGGCGGCACCTCGCCCTCGGCCGTGCCGCCGGCCGCCTCCTCTGCCGCCGGCCCGCCGTCGCCGGCCGCGCCGTCCGCCGCCGCCGGCTGGTCGGGCGGCGCCGCCGCGTCGGCCGCCGGCGTCGGCACGCTGCTGCCGTTGCCGGCCGCCGCCGCCGCCGCCAGGAGCGCCGCCTCGACGGGCGCCGAGTCCGGTGGTGCAGACGGAGCGGCGGCGGGCGCGGCGGCCGGGCGCTCCCCGGCCGGCGGCGGCGGCGTCTCGGCGGCCGGCGCCTGCTCGGCAGTGCCGTTGGCGGCCGGAGGACGGGCGGCGGGCGCGGCGGGCGGCGCCGGGTCGGCGGCCGGCGGTGCCAGCAGCGGCCGAGCGGTACAGACGAGCTGCAGGGTGTCGGCCGGCAGCAGGGCGCGCGCCAGGCCACACAGACGGCTGTGCGGCGTGCCGCGGTCACCCTCCTCGGGGCCGCAGAGGCGACACGGGCGCTCGGCGGCGCCGAACAGCCGCCCGCCGGCGATGGACGAGAGCTCGGCCAGTCTGCAGCCCAGCTCCAGCTGCCGCTCGGAGCTCAGGTTGGCCGGCACCTGACCAGGAGCCAGAGAGACGCAGCGCTGCGCCCGCGAGCCCGCCGCGTCACGCTCTGAAACACAGTCAGACCCTCATCAGTCATCAGACCACATACATCAAGCTCCATCCCTCCCACCAGTGTAACATCCACTTCACCAACGCGACAAACCCGATCCGTGCCATCCACCCAATCGGCACGCTCCGTAGCCAATGCAGCGATACATTCTAGAGGGTTCTAACCGGCTTAGAGCCGCCCCCCCCCCCCCCTGCGTCGTCTCACGGCCATCGGGGACATTGTAAGGGTTCCCACAGGTGGGTCACGTGTGGGACAGGTGGTATGGCGCCGCTTTCAGTCAATACATGGTGACCGGGCGGCGTCTGGTCTGGCACTGATGAGTCACCGTCGGCTAACCACAGTCCGATACGGGGTCACAGTGGCGCGCCTGGGATTTTATGATTATGGAGCCACAGCGGACGTGCATCGACCGCCTTACAGAGGCCCTCGGCGGTGGGTCAGGAGACCATACACTGGCACGGTGGGCCTGGAGTGCCGACCCTCGTGAAAGTGGAACCGGTACATTTATTGATGTGTATGGTGGAGGTGGGTTGATAACTAATTTAACAATGTGGTTACAACCGGCTTTACCGTGTAGTGATTCCTAGGTAACTCCTAGCATTGACCCAACATCGTTAATGTAAATTATCAACTGCATCAAACGGATTTCAGAGCTCGTGATTAGACAATATCTGAGTTGGGCGATCAAAATTTAACACACTCACAAGCCTCCAAGGTATCCACGTTACCGACCAGCACAAGCAGCACAAATATCCGCGTATAGACCCCTTTTAGCGGGAACTGCGGGCGTGGTCAAACTCACTTCCAGTGAAGGCCACCTTGGCCGTCTCCACCATGCTGTTGACGGCCTGCAGCGCGCGGTTGAACAGGTTCGGTCGATCGGTCGGCTCGGCAGGCTCTGCAACAGGGTGATGGTGGTCAGTGCTGAGCAACAGGGCCGTTCAGGACAGGCACACAGGGTACAGGGGATGGTCACTGTGGTCAGGGCGGGTCACTGGCCAACGGCATTTCACACAACACACCCAACGGCCAACAGCTTACGTGGCTACCCTATCCAGAACGAACGAAGGTCCACAGCCCGAGGAGAAGCCTAACATCTTCCGACTGAGCCAAGTTCCAAATGTCAGGGTCACGGCTCGGTCGATCGGCCGTGCCCGCTCGGCTCCAGCCGGTCGCTAAGGTCGCTCTGCCGGGGGCACGACGACAGCCCATCAACAACCAACCGCCGGTACCGCGGTGACCGAACATTGATTGGATGGCCGGCGCCGCACCACCAGTGGCGCCACGCTACTTTGGTCCACTGCATATGGTGCTTAACCCAAACCAACCACCACAGCAATGGCAGCAACTACAGCCACCCAAAGCTAGAAGCACGGCAGCTGCTGATATCAGCGGACGCTCGGCCATCAGCAACTGTTGTGCACCAGACATCCCCCTACAAGCAACGCTGGCAGTGTTTGCGGCTGTATTTCATTGACCCTGCTAAGCGGATTGTATTTGGACCTGGTTATCCTTTAGCTACATTCTCGACAGACTTCTGGAGATAACCATCGATTCGACCCTTCCGAACAGCGAGCTATGACGGCCTGACGGCGGCCGTTGGAGGCTCATTTCCCGACCCGGATCGGCGCCGTGTGATATCGATCAATGAAGGTTCGATGGCACCGACAAAATGCCAGCCGCGCATCGCGACAGTAACTCATGGCCCGGCCGGGAATGCTGGTTACGTCAAACGAGCCCGGCGCCACTGACATCGAAAAGGCAGACGGAGAGAGCTGGACAATGTGAGAGGGGAAATCAAAAGGCGACTGGAGCGACAACCGCAGCGGCCGTCTGTGTATGATCAAGAGAAAAGGCTTACGATAATGATATGGGTTTCGTGGCGACCGAAGGTTAAGATTGGAAGAAATTGTTTAGGAACACATCGAAAATACAAGAAAGGGAAAACGGAAGATGAGATAATCAACGACCAACGTGAAAGTGGTCAGTGTCGAATTCACCAGCCACCAGATTACCGAATAATGAGCCATCGCAATTACTTTCGATAAGAACCTGGAAGCAAGATCACTTTACTAACAGCCAACGTTGGCTGGCAGCGGCCAATGTTAGAAATTTTGGAACGCTGGAAGCCAGCGTTGGAGTTGGAGTCGTTAGAGTGGCGTGGGGCCGTCAACGAAACGTTTGAGGATCGCGCGGCGCTACCGCTGGTGCCCAGGTTAAACAAATTGCATCGTCGCCGTCTGGTGTTTGGAAGAAATTGATCAGACCTCAACGTACACCCCCGTGACACGCGAGTGTGGCAGGCCAGAAGGGGAAGTGGGCATGACAAAGCCAGGGGAAGTGGTCATGACAAGGTTAGTTAGAAACATCGCCAGGGCGTAATTAATATGCAACAGACTATGGTGGAATGAGCATCTCGATCATACTAGACCATAAAGACAGGGTATTGTAATCACCCTCATGCATATTGCACATCGGCATTGAACAATAGTAACTAACACATACACAATGTGCATTACTATTGATCCAAGTTCCAACAGTGTCAGGACTTGCTTACACCTTCCTTTACAATCAATTCGCAACCCCCTACAATCTACATTCCCCGCCGCCCAGCTGGTCTGTGACGGACAGTTTCAGTTCCTCAGTCAATCACCGAACACCTGTGGCGGCCGCCACCCCCCGCCCGTCAGCCACGGTCTGTATTCTGCATCCCTGAGCAGTCAGCTTTACCTTACAGTCAACACTTAGCCTACAGTTAGTACCAGGGATGCGGAGCCGTGGAAATTTCAGACGGCTCCGGCTCCGGCTCCGGCTCCGGAGAAAAAAATCGGCTCCGGCTCCGGCTCCGGCTCCGGGTGAAATGTTATGGCGGCTCCGGCTCCGGCTCCGGCTCCGGCTCCGAGTAAAATGGTCCGGCTCCGGCGGCTCCGGCTCCGACTCAGTACATCCCCTATGCAATCAATTAAATACGGGTGGAAGAAAAATTGGATTGGTTATACGCGTTACTCTTTGCCAGGACCGGCTCACCGCGTCCCCGCGCAAACGCACCTCGGAGAGAACTGGCAGAACAAAGGACTAGGAAGCGATGGCATTGGAAACGCAGTCGCCGCGAATCGGAGTTCACTGAACCATCGTAAGCTGACGCCCGTCTCGGCTGCATTGGGGGGTGGGGGTGGGGGTGGGGGGTGGGAAGAGACGGTGCTGGGAGTTGCAGTCCACTGCACTGGCTTGAAAACAATGGCCGTCACCTGATGACCGGTCCTCATGTTCTGGGGATGCAGAAGACGTGGGGGGGGAGGGGGAGGAGCAGACAGGCAGTTTATTGCGTACTGTGGGATACTGGGGATATTCGGCTTTTTTCATTCACTTGATGGCCCATGACGTAAGTACCATTATACCATATGTTTTACTGCCTTGTACTGTCAAACCGAACTAGGTCAATTATTTTTTTTTCCTCTTCAAAAAATAAAAAGGAGTCGGAGTCGCCCCCTTTTTTGGCGGCTCCGGCTCCGGCTCCGGCTCCGGGCTATATTGTTTCACGGCTCCGGCTCCGGCTCCGGCTCCGGGCAAAATATGCCGGCTCCGGCGGCTCCGGCTTCGACTCCGGCTCCGGCTCCGCATCCCTGGTTAGTACACATCCCTCCTTCAGCGGCGACCAACTGTCTAAACCAGAACTGCGGCTGCAGACCAGAACCTCCCATGACAGTCCCACCTGTCCCACTCCCCACGCTACATAACCGGACACCGACCCAGCCCGACACTCTGAACACACCAACTCACCCATGAGCTCCTCGAAGTCCGACGTCTCCGTCTCGTGCTGCTCAGAGTCCTGGTGGTCCAGCACCTCGTACTCGCTGGCGCCGTACACGCGCACGTTGGACACGGTGCAGTAGTAGTGGCTGCCGTAGTGACTCAGGATCTCCACCTGGCAAGGGAACACCGAGGGTCAGGGTGTATACTGTATACTGTATATCGAATATAGCACGAAGTTACACGTGCCACGATCGTCACAAATGTCTTTCCACAGGTTATATAGAACAAAACATAATCTAACCTGACCTAACCTACAACCTAAAACCCGTTAAACCTACCAACCTACAACCTACGAGTTCTGCTGTGGCACATATGTGGCATATATAACTCGTGGGGCATGTAAATGTCCCCCGACGGTCAGATCAGCGTCACAGGAAGGGGTTCAGGGAAGGGGATACGTGCGACTAGGGGTGCCGGGAGATTATCCATTTAGTGGGATGCACTGGACGCGAATAGGTTTGTGATGTAACCTCAGGCACGGAAATGTGATCGCAGTCAGTCGCGGGGCATGGACACAGCACGATACATCGCTGCCCACTATTAAGTTCACTAGGGCGCTCCTGCAGGGGCGATTTAGCTTCCAGCATTGCCATCAGTAGTTTAACTGTTGTTTGGGTTAGACCGTGCACTGTGCGACCGCGCAGGCTGACTGCTACGCCACACTCAGTACAGCAGCAAAACCAGGAACAAAACGGAGCCGCATAACGACTGTCATATAAGGTCACTATTACAAAGGTTATATAACATCAACATTCTGGACCCCGTCTTCCAGTGTAGTTACCTCCGTACTTGTGTCCGTGGGGCTAACTTTTTACGAGTACTCGCACAGCAACCGCTGAGTTTAATCATAAACAAATCCATCAAGAAAGCGAGGAGAATGGTTAGATACCAACACAACGCCACCAGCTTATCAAAACATCACATCATATTGCCGAAAAACATGAACGCCACGCCTACATAATTGCAACATGAGTGCCGAGTTGCATGCCGCTTAGTTGCACTGCAGAGCATGTAGGCTTATTTATCGACCGTGTCGGCGCTCTGGCCTCGGTATGATGGGGGTCTCTGGGAGCGCGGATATACACCTCGAGACTGCCCCGGGAGGTGCTGCCATAAAACTGCACTAGCCGATGTGAGCTGCAGGCATGCACTCTGACTACAAACACCGGGACCGCTCACATGGGAGCAAGCAACAACAGAGCGAGACCGGGGCCTGGGATCCAGCCCACCACTCACTGGTTGCTTTTCACAATATGTCTAGCCCAAAAGAATGAGCATTGAGCGAGTCACTAGGAATGAACACTGAGCAGCTACTTAGGCTGAGCCAGTTGATCCGAACTGAGCCAGTCACTCGTACTGAGCTACTAGTCACCCAGAGTGAGCCAGTCAGCCCATCTGAGCCAGTCACCCGGCCTGAGCCATCACCCGGACCCGGACCCGTGCAGTCTGCTAGCTCAGCGCCTGACCGGGCACCGCTGCAGCACAGGTGTTTGTTTCCACAGGCCCAACGCACCGGTCAGCGTTCGGCGCCCCACCCCACTCCCCTCCTCCCCCAGTGGCTGGTCACCCGACACCAGCAGCCTGACCAGCCGGACCGGAGCAGGGAGGCACGGTACGGCAAGGACCGCACGGCAGAGCACAGCCAATACGGCACCATGCGACGAGATGATATGACAGACGTAGCACGGAAGGAGTGGTTCGACGCGGTATGGCACAGCATAGCACAGTTAAGCATGTCTGGCACCACAGTATAACACAAGACATGTCCACCGCGGACTATGGCAAGGCATGCCACACGGTGTGGCCAATCGCATGGCATGATTATGTAAAACGCGGCAGGTATGCAACGTAAAACCACGGCGCAGTACGCCGGAACGGCATAAATGTTATAGCACGGCACGGGCTATAATGAGATGGATGTTTGGCAGGACAATCTATCGTGAAGATTGTCGACGCATCCATAATTGTGTGTGTAGTGTAATGAGAATGCATATAAAATGAATGCATGCAGCGAAAAGTGACAAAAGCAATGAGAAGGTATTTAACACCGCACTAACACCGACAAGCCCACACACCAGGCGATGAGCCCAGCCCACACCTACCTTGACGAACTTGCCGAACACGACGGTGGGCAGGTGGAAGCTCTGCGGTCCGCGGCGACTCTCGGCGGTGAACTGCCCCACCTTGTTCCACTCGCGGGTCGGGTACCGGTCCGTGAGGTAGACGGCGAACTCACGAGGCGACGACGAGTACAGTTCGTCGTTACTGAGCTCCAGCTGCGGAGGGAGGGAAGGAGGAGGTGGTTACGGTCTGGCTATGAGTGACGCCGGGCTAAGGGAATGCGCTTAGCAGGAGAAGTTTGTCATTCAGAGATTGAAGATACCGGAAGAGACGAAAGAAATCCATCAAAGAGAACAAAAATGTGACAAAGGAGCATGCAATGGCGCATTTACAGCAGAGCAAACCACACACGTCAGCAAAAGTGGTAGCTTGCATCCACCAAAGTCTCGTATACCCCACCCCTTCTTTTTCATCCATTCCCCCTGGTCCCACTCCCTTCCATCATCCTCATTCCCTCTCCCCCGTCCGCCACTCACCCGGCTGGCCTGTATGCCCTCGCACAGCTCTATGACGAACCACACCCTAGTGTCACAGCTGTTGAGCATGTACTCGTCGCGGCCCGGGCTGAGCACGTTGCCTGCTGACGTGGCGCCCGGGTTGGCCGCCAGAACTTTGGCTCCGCAGTCGGGGGAAGCGTAGTTTTTGATTCGGTGTCGCACCGGGGGTTTCTTCACGGGGCTGGCGCCGGCGCCGGGCCGAGACGGTGACACCGTGTCCCCTGCGGTGGGAGAGAGACAGAGGCGGTCACGGAGCGTTGTCAACCAGTGTGAATGGTACCACAGACCCCGTGAGAACAGTACATAGTGACACTACCCCGTGAGAAGCACAGATCGCGTCATATGTGTTTGAATGAGGTAGGTAATGGAACACGTCAGGTAGTGAAATGGATTCGAAAGCAAGTCAGTTTTTAACACTTGTTTCAGTAATTGCACAATGTTTTCAAACAATAGCGATACATTTCAACCCACTTTTGTACTAACAGCATTCATTCAGAGGCCTGTCGACGGAAGTCGGCGATTGGAAACTCAGATTCATGAAATATGCACACGTGTGAGAGCTGCAAGCGCAGGGCACACTGGTATCCTTATTGAGAGTAGCCGATCGGATTTCTTTCTGCACGACTCTGAATCCCCTCGAGAAAACACTGATCAGTGTCCGCTGTCGTCATATGTGCTCGCAACGGTGAAATGTAATCTCATATGTATGTGCGCTCATATGTGATCAGCAAACGCAAAAAGCCAAAGTCATAAATAGAAGCCGGGTGAATGCACTTGTTCCAAACAGAGGTCATATTATGTTAGGATTGTTGCTTGGCAACCGGAGGTATACCTACTAGCGAAGCATACCTGTCTGTCCAGTCACACTACCAAACCATGTCATACAGTCTCCAGTCCCCTAGCACAGTAAACCTACCCAAAAAACACGCAGTGAATCACCAGTCCAGCTGTCAAAACGACAAAACACAAAATGTCGTGTTCAGTTTCAGTGCCCCGATACTTTAGTCACTTGTCAAAATGATGCTGACTCAGTTGACCACATATGGACAGACAGAAGCTACAGTTCCGGTCTTATGATCTTACGCTATTTAAAGAGCGATAGTTACGCTCTGCCACGCAAAAGGCTAACTGATACATATTATTCCAAAACAAATCATTTTTCATGTGAAGGTTATTAAAAAAAAAACGGTAACGCTGAATCCAGTCGTGTAATGTTTCCTGCTTCTGGGTGGTTACTGGTTGTCATAGGGAATTTTAAATAAGAAGTACCGCGAGGCACGCCGACGCCGGATCTCCCAGTAAATATTCCGATAGCCCCCCAAAAATCACTAGCCCACCACACTTACACCGCCCACTCACCTGTCTTTTTCTGCGTCTCCTCCACCCGCTTGCTGGCCCACTCGTTGAAGGGCTGGATGTCCTCTCCAGAGCCCGTCTCCGGCGGCCAGAGGGCGTCCTCGGCCGCCCCGCTGGAGGTAACGTTCTCTCCGGGCGCGGTGTCCGGGGCCGGCCCGGACCCGGAGCCGTGACTCCGGGCGCCCGCCTCCGGTCCGGCCGCCGGCTCGGAGCCCGGAGTCGGCTGGGTCGTCAGCGGAGGAGGCGGGGTGAACGTCTCCGGTCCCGGCTCGGGGTTAGGAGGAGGGCCGTCGGTGAGCGTCGAGCGGATGTCCTTCGCTATCACCACGGGAGGCTCGTCCGAGGGAGGTTCCGCCGCCGGCGCGGCCGCTGGTGCCTCTGGTGCTGGTGTCGGAGCCGGCGATGGTGCCGATGGTGCCACTGGCGGTGGCGATGGTGGAGGCTCCTGTGTAGTGGCGGTCGGGGCATCACCAGCTACCACAGGAGCTGGGGCGGCCGCCGGAGTTGGAGCAGGGGTGGGCGGCGGCGGTGGGGAGCGTGCCTGGCCCTGCGCCTGACTCGGTGCGGCCGCCGGTGTTGGTGTTGGTGTTGGTGTTGATGCCGGTGTCGGTGTGGGTGTCGGCGGCTGTCCCGTGTCTGCAGACGCCGAGGGTGGCCGGTCCGGCTGTGCGCCCGTCTCTGTCACCTCAGCGGCCGGCCGCTCCGGCGGCGGGGGAGACTCCGCAGCCGGGGCGCCCGACTCCACCGGCTCTCCTTCCTCAGTATCCCCCGAGAGCGGCGGCACGGGTAGCGGCGTCACCGGCGTCTCGGCTGCCACCGTCGGCAGCGGCGGCGGCGGCGGAGGCGGCAGCGACGGGTCCGCCGCCGACTCCTGGCCCCTGTGCAAACAGAAAAAACGACGTGTCACCCCTCACCGTGTGAGACAAGACCAGTCACTATCATCCATGACAGCCAGGTAAACGTCAGTTTTCTCCAGTCGTCCATCCCATCTCACCAAACAGTGGCTCTCACCGCCTCGGAGCAGATTCTCACCCTCCGTGAGTCTACCAAAAGTCACGTACAGAAAGCCCACAAAAACCGGTCGACCGTTCGCCCTCTGCCGGTCCCTCCATCCACAGTTCACGCGCCGCGACGGTCGGGTCAAAAGAGAGATTCATGGCGGCCGTATGATGATTGCTCCCTGATCATGCCTTCATCAGATCAGAAAGCAGTGATAAACAAAGGCACACAGTTACTAACAAACGGTAAATACGGGCAACTCAGATCGTCATGTGGCAAGGCATTTGAAAAGTACCTTTCTGAATGAATAACCCAAGTCACGTTGCTTATCCAGCAACAGTAATACGTCTGGGTTATTTATAACTAGCGCCGGACGAGGAGGGAATCCTCGCAAGTTTCCCGATACCATTCACGTGCACCGTCCACGTGAGTGATCCACCTCTATGAGTAGAAGGTGTGCGTCTCCTTTCCCCTTTGAGACGTCACGTCCACTAGACCGACCCAAACGACAAGCCATATGACCAACCTACGCCGCGAGCAGCGACCGCCTGATCGGCATGCCAGCGTTAGTGCGTAGACCGTCCGTCGCCCGTGTACTATCGACTGGACTGAGACCTTCGATCGACCGCCACTCCGGTACCCGGCGCTGAGAACGACAGGCGCAAGTGTGCATATCGACCCTGTGCATCAACGAAAAGCAGTAAGTGCGCAGAATGTCCGGCACCCTGCACTGACGACCAAAACAGCCTCAGTGCGAACGTCGGACGATAACCCCGTGCCGTCTACATTGAACAACACACTGATGACGGAGGTGGTGTGGCTGCAGCATACCGTCCGGCCGTCGCCCGTCCGGCCGGCCGGACAGACAGACGGCAAAAAACGCCACTCTCCGCCACTATGACCTCAATGGCCCTCCCCTCCCTCCCGGCCGCCGCCGTGGCGCTGCACGCGTCGCCAGTACCGTAAACAGACAGGCCCGGTCACCACTGGCTGGTGACGGCACCGCGGCGCGGCTGACGGACCGGACGCTCCACAGCTCGAGAAAGTCGCGAGCTTCCCAGCCCGGCGGCTCGGGGCTGCGCGCTGGACAGCTCTCTACACACGGGACTGAGAGAGAGCGCCAGCCCCGGTGGAACGCGCCGGCGGCACTGTGACGAAGCCAAGTGGCCTGGCTCGACGGCGGGATGGAGCCATGAGGGTAGGACGAGCGCGGCTGGCAGTTTACCGAGCTCGGGAACGATGGACTGAAATACTGTGGCCTGGATTTCTGGATTAACCTATCGCACTGACATGAGGCACGGAATAGGCCGCTATGGCAGGTCACCTGAGGTCTGAACGAGAAAAGATGACCCACAGCGACGCGATGACCGAGGCCTGAGCTGGCTAAATTAGGATGGCCTGGAATTCTGCTTACTGCTAATCAAGGCGCGATGCACTAGCATTTGAGCTGACCAAAACCGGTTGTCCCCGAAGTCTAAGCTAACCACAACACGGCTCGGTGGTCTGTCGCAAGTTGCACCCGTTATTCCGAGCCGCCAATAGGCACAGGTGGCGTTTTTCACAGCCCACCTCCACCCCCCCCCCCCCCCCGCTGAGCTGACGAATTCACCTCCCTACCCTGCATCTGTCGCTGACTCCGGGCAATCCCCCTGTCCCACGGCACTGATATACACCAGACGTGGACACCGAGCGCCGGCACTGGGCCCCCTCAGCTCTCAGCTGCACGCTGCACACGGCAGCAGAATCAATTTGGGCCAGTGGTAGAGTCCGGAGAGCTTGCAGCCTGTTGTTGACGATGAACGGAACAACGAGACCGACCAGTGGACAACACAGATCAACGCATCACGCCAATGCTGTACCACGCCCTATGGACACGTCAAATACACCGATGGCACCCCGATAAGCTGGAAAAATAGCCACCATATCAAATTAAATCACACCGTGGCCGAGATAGGTGCGTGTACCGTAAACAAACAAGCTCCAGCGCATACACAGACACACAGGCTACACACAAGCTTACTGGATTGCGCTGGTATGAGCCGCCTGTCCTGGGGTCCAGACAGACAAGCCGGGTACACAGTACACACATGGCCCGGGTCAGAGGTGACGGCGCCTCGGAGACAGGGCGGGCGGAGGGTCTGGCCGGCGCTGGGCCGGGGTGACGTGGTCTGCGGAATGTCGCCTGCTCAGCCGGCACATGAGGTTAGGAATGCGGGCAGGCAGACGGACAAAAGGAGAGTAGGACGGGGAACGGAAAGTAATGGAGAGAAAGGCGGACGAAAGAATAGGACAGACGGGCAGACAGACGAACAGACAGGCAGATACTCAGGACGGCGGACAGAGGGACTGTTAGACAGACGGAAAGACCGGCAGTAGACGGGAAGGGCGGCATACCAGGAGTGTGGGCGAACGAAACGTCAGCACGCTGCTGAATGGAACCTGACACCGAGCCCTCCGGGTCTGGTAGGTCACAGCGGTAGCTGGGAGCTAGCGGAGCTGCAGCCCCGGCCAAACATGACATCGCTTCCAATACCAGATGTGAGCGCACAGCAGCAGGCTGGGACTCAGGGTGCAAGGAAAGGACTAGGGTCGGTGACATCACGGAAAGCTCAATTCGGAGTTGGCTCATGGCTCACCGAAACCGCACCTATGCTCTTAAGCGCCCGATATGCTCGTTATGAGCATCAATGCAGAATGCACACAGCAGCACGTGCGCCGGTTAGTGGAGGTACCGGCAGTCGGCACGCCCAGCGTCTCGGCGTCAGTGTCCCTGTCGGTGATGAACCCACCTGGCCGGCGCGCGGCACCCGTCGGCCGCCAGGTTGGTGTAGAACAGCACCATGAGGAGGCCGGTGATGAGCAGCGAGGCCAGCAGGTGGCCGGGCCGGCGCCGCTCCGGGCACGGCGCGGCCAGCGGCGCCGCCGGCCAGCGCCAGCAGCTCACCAGCACCAGCCGCTGGTCGGCGCGGCTCGACACGGCCGACCAGCGCGACCGGAGCCGGGCCGGCAGCGGCCACAGCTGGGCGGCGCCGCAGCTCCTGCACAGCGCCGGCAGAGGCTGGTGGCGCATCACAGCGCGCGCCGCCCGCACCGCGCGCACTACAGCCGACTACTGACGCCCGGCCGGCGGCGGGCGGCCGAGGCGGGCCGAGGAAAGCCGCCGAGTGCCGCCCCAATCGATGGTGGCTGGCCGGCCGGGGGAGGCGCGAATCCGTCAGCTGACCGCCGCCCCACGCGCGAGACGCTCATACCAATCGGTACAACGATGCAGTGGAGAATTCGCTTGACGAAATAATGAAGGAAACGTTCTTAACACATACTGACACCGGCTGACGGAAAATGAAGAGGAAATAACAGAACGACTTGCTAACAGTGTTTTTTGTTACACAATATAAATGATGAGCGATCATATGCGCTGACGGCTGATGAAATGGCTTCCTAAGCAAATGACCAATTTTGTTCGTTCAGCTAAATCTACGATACAGGTTGACACACAACTGATAGTACCTACCTCGTAAGGAAGGAAAGTGAAGCGATGCTTTACAAGATTGGACGGTTCTGATGCACCATCGTTAAGAGGACTTTGTGATGTGGCGTAGAAAGAAGGTAGGTTGTTGGATTTTTTAATGTGCTCACTTATGAGCTCGCAAGTACTAAAAATGCAGATAGTAAAGGAAAGATAATCGGGGCGACATCACTGGACATGTGATAGCGTCCATATTAAATGCGTGCCGCTCGTATTCCTTCCAGTCAAGCTAGTGGCTTGATAAATATGAAATCGCCAACAGCATGTTAGCATATCATTGCTGGCAAATAATTCAGCACGTAATCTCTTCTACTGTCTCCATCGCAAAAACGCATGGCCCATCGGGATAATTCATGACTGATGCCTGTAATCGACCGAAGAGGAAGTATGTAGCTGCCCATACCAGACGAAATAAGCCAGTGAAAAGCCAGCCTGTTTCTAAGTGGCAGACAACTATGGCATACGCACTCGGCGCTACGAAAGACATTCGGATGACCATTTCAAATAAGCTAATGTGCGGGGAAGTGATGTTGGAATGTCACAGCTCACAATCCTCGAACCAGCATGCCCCAGAAAACGGCACAAAACGCGTTTTTCACCGAATGCGGAAATGTTTGACAATGAAAATCGTTAGGAAAGGTTAATGTTGAAACAGACTCTTTCCGCGTTCAGGAAAATACATTCCTGCCCGGGGCTGGGAAAATTTAATGGTGTCACCGAGTTTTTTAATTGAAAGTAACGAGGGCCGGTAGGCCCGAGGTACTTTCGATTAAAATACGAGGTGACACCATTAAATTTTCCCAGCTCAGGGCAGGAAGCTATTTACTGTATGCCTGGTCTATTCAAATACATTAGCCAGAGGGGTGTGGTAATAACTGGTGTAAGCAAATTGACCACGGTCAAAAATGCATTACCAGAATGCACTTAAGCCAACATTTTGGGATGTTCTCGTTCCTAAGTCGGCTAAGAGCTTCGGTCCAGAAAATAAATTTATCGTTGGCATCGTTGGCATACAGTAAAATACATACCAAACTCGGCCGGTGATAAATTTTCAAGACCTCAGTCCTTACTGATTTTTGAACTCGGCCTTCGGCCTCGTTCAAAAATCCAGTAAGGACCTCGGTCTTGAAAATTTATTTACACCGGCCTCGTTCAGTATTATATATTCCCATACATGCGTATCATGAGAGTGTTGCAAATGTTTTGGAGGAACCAAAACGCCCCAATTTCAACCTTGTTGAGTCTTTCGTGGCTATGGTTTGTTGCAAAATAGCGTCAGAGTTTAAGTTTTATATGGTGATGTTTCACTTTATTCATGACAAATAATAAAATCCTTGCATCAATAACGATGTAGGTAGGTATATCATAAGCCAATCAAATAAAATGGACGATAGATAAAATGAAGTTATAAGGAGCAAAATGATGTTCTTCAACTTAATGATGTGACGTCATTCATAATGACGTCATATATTTGAGAGGTGCAGGAAAACGTCGAGGGGTGCAGGAAAACGTCGAAAGGTGCAGGAAAACATATTTTCCTGCATGTCTCGGTAACCAATCAGCATTGACTTCTCGTATGTTTCAAAAGTGCAGTATAATGCACGTGCCATTTTAATGCCTGGCTTTCTCGATTTAAACGTGCAATGTTGCATGTATGGGAAATCGCATGCGAGAGCCTATTCAAATACATTATAATTCTTCTCGCATCAATCGCATCCGGGAGGTGCGTGCGATTGATGCGAGCGTACTTCCATGTATTTGAATAGGCTCTCGCATGCGATTTCCTGACTGCGGAAAGAGTCTGTTTCAGGCATTAGGATAGTCCAAGCCACTCACACTCAAGGCTATCTCACACTGGGACTTGCCACCGTGTTCCCTCAAAGAGAGTAGCCCACGGTAGGTATACTGAAGTGTAGGCCGTCCGTCAGACAGACTCGGGTCACCTCTGGCGGTCACCTTGGCGCCGGTGTGATGTGAGGTGATCAGCTCTGAGCTCTGCAGCTAACTGCCGCCATGTGGCCCTCCCCGTCTTTCAGCGAGGTCGTGCTCAGCCGCGGGCCGGGCGCCCAGCCATCCAAATCGGCTCGGCGGCCGATACACACCGCTGTACATGGATACAGCCACCGCCCCGGGGCCGGGCATAAAAACAACAGCCGGCTTCACACCAGGCTTTTTACGTTGCCTCGTCAAGGTCAGCGTCATCAACTGCAATTATCAATCACGATTCGCGGGTATTTATTAACATATGATATTTAGTCCCCACGGAAACAGCATAAAAGATGGTTGTGTGTTATGTAACTTAAACAAAGAATGTCCATGACAAGACCTTCCATATATCAGTTATCACTAGGTGGTGCACCATGCCAGTAGCCCAGCGACTTCGGTTGAATGAAGTATGTCAATGGTCAACCAAATGCCCATGCCATATGAAGTACGAAATAGTCAAATAGTCAACTCCATTAAAACCCTCTATCAAAGACTAAAATCGGTGGGATGGATAACCATGAAATGTCAACAAGCGTTTTGATTTTAATAAGGGTGCGATACCTGTTGATCTCCAAACTCCAGACCGACACCAACCAAGTCATATCCGAAAGCGTTAAAAGGCAACGTGCCTTGTTTCGGAGAAAATCCTTCGAGCACGATAGAGCAGCGATATGAGAGCACCATCTGAAGCCCCAAAAAAACTATCCTCACACCTGGTCATCCTTGCCGACTCAGGCATATGTGCACATGGATTCAACAAAACACGTCAATACAGCATAGCATACAGCAGTTCACTGCTCAGTGCTCATGTTCCACTCCAGTTGCCCGCACCAAGCAGTGGTGCTACCTCAGAAATACACCAGTTCCAGTCATGGATACCAGAGGGCAGCACCTACCGAGCCATCTCGTTCTGATCGCTCCCGGTCGGAAATACCGCCGGTAACGCAGGTCGTCGGCCACAGCGACCCACCAGCGTCTCTGCCCATCAGTCTCCCGACCAGCTGACCCCCGCTGAGGACACAGAGAGTCGCCATCGGCACGCGGCGGGGGCGGCGGCCAAACATAACAGGCTGCTTTGTCCGCCGCCCAGTCTCCACCCGACCAACAGCTGACTACCGCGGCGGCGAGCTTAGCGGCGAATAGTGAGAGACGAGGACCGAGAGAGACGGTAGGAGGTGAGCTCAGCGACCGAGGACCGAGCAGTGAGAAGGCAAGGTATGATATAGACGGTAGGATAAGATATACATATAGGGGATCTGAGATCGACAGGAAATTAGAAGACCATGATACCTGTCATGAACGTAAGGAGACAAGTGCAGATGAACTGTTGATGACCATACCCGCGACTACATAGTCCAGAGGATTATTAAAAGAAACAGTTATCAAATCTCGGAACGCCAAAACAGCCGTCGGTGTGTCTGAACCGCACCAAATCGGCGCAACACAGTTGTCACGGAAACGGCATCCACGGAAGTTCCACATGCAGGCTACGTATGTGGAGTATTCGGTAACAACCCTGGCAAATGTGAATGCTTGCAATTTGTAACACTAACAGCCTGTGTTTACTTATAAAACACAATATGGCTGAAGTGTGAGATAAAGAATCTAATAGCAAAGAGTTCAGAAAGCCAGGCAGAGAAATGTCATCATCCTCCCTGCAGCTGCAGCGCGGTTCGTCGGCTAATGCGACGATAGGAGCGAGGTCGTGGTCAGGAGGGGGGGGGGGAGTGAGCCGGTGTACCGCAGTGCACAAGTGTCGCTCGCCCCCCCCCCCCGTGACACGTGGGGCGCGGTCCTCGTCGGTCGGTCGGCCGCTGACGTCTGGCCCGACCCTGACATTACCGGTCGGCGAGGGTCCGTGGCGACGCCACCGCAGACCGCGACAGGAGTGGGTCAGCCCGATCGACCGCTGCCAACTGCCCAACTACGCCGGCGGACCGGCAGACGACGGACGGCGGCGGTGTGATCGGAGGGTCTGGAGGGGCAAACACACTACCTTGTTCCTGACCTCGGGCATTTATCTTACCAGGATGATCGCCAGGAAGCACATCGTGCTCAAAAAGCTGATTTTCGCCAGATTCAAAAGGACTCAAAAAGCTGATTTTTGCCAGATTCAAAAGCATTGAAAGTAGAATATTTCTCGTTGCCCAACACTTATAACATACCATAGGTCTCTAATATTCGACCAGACCAGGACAATCGTGTACCAGGAACCAAATAAAACGAAACACATCGGCAATGAATTTCCGTCACCTGGATATCAGAGCTCAGCCTGTTGGAAATCGAACACAGATGGGCGGAGGGTGTCAGAGCGAAGGGTCGACAGACGCGAGTGTTCACGTCAAGACGCAGTTCACAAGGACGGGCAGCTCAGACCTATGCTGTAATCGGAATTAGGCGCACCAACTGCCCCAGAAAGGCAGCAACCCAAAACATTACGGAACTGAGTGTAACTCGCCGACAGTATCGGTGAGCCGGCAAAGTTGGCGACTTGGGGGATATTATCCATTAGTTTACGCATTTATTTATTGATACATTTCCACGGAAATTTTAACGGCAAGAGAGCAATGAACTTCAATGAAGAGGACTGTTCAGTTTGGGGAACCCTGATATGCACCCCACGTTATGACAGCCTTACAGAGCCCACCAGGTCTCCTCTGCGAACAAAGACCAGACTCTGAATCATCGCGGATCAGAGAATTCGCGGACAGGCGTGCCTGTGGCGAGATTTAAAAATAGCCTGTTTGAGCGCCTGAGCTCACACTTCTCTTACTCACTTCAGTGATCACTGGTCGCGCGTTGAGCGCAGAAACCCGTTACTTAGACACGCACACCCCAGTCTATTGCACTAGCGCAGGCCGGGCTACCCTCTGCGGTAAAAAGTGCGAAAAGGGCGGACGGGATTCGCTGCACTTACTTTTTCATGCGATGCCGCCGAACTTTTTCCGGATTCTGAAACGAAAGAAGCATGTGCTCAGATAAAAAGGCAAATATCAACAAGCCTAAAATATGGAACATGTTACAGGAATTATAACCACATGTCTATCAACTTATCAGGACGTCACTCGAGTGCATGATGCCTTTTCTGCCGTGGAAAGGCAAAAACTACTTTGTTGGGTCACTCAACGTCTGATCCAACATGACCCCTGACCCAACATAGTAGTTTTTGCCTTTGCACGGCAGTTTTGTATGCCCCACATATGGCTCCACCCACCGGGAAGCCAAGGACACTGGCTGTGCCACCCACCTGTCGGTCGCCCGCCGGCCGGCCGCCGCCCGCGGTGCTGCACGTGCTCCGGCCCACCGGCGGAGGCGGCGGTGGCGCTGGGCCCGCGCCGGCCAGGCCGCGCTTCAGGTGCTGCAGCTCCTCCAGACTGAGCTCCAGCCGGCTGATGGCGCTGTCGATCACACTGCTCGGCGGACTGGGCTCTGGCGCCAGCTCGCGCGCCGGCTCCACGGCCGCCGACACCTCCAGGGCCGCCGCCGAGCCGGCCCGCAGCAGCAGCGGCAGCCTGAGCGGCCGGGCAGAGAGGGGGCCGGTCAGCACATCCGGCACCGGGGCAGACAGGTGGCGGCATACTGAATGGGTGCTGGGTCTGTCCTACTTCAAAGCTGAAACCAGTGCCTGTTACCAGTAACAATTGTTACTGGTGGCCAGGTAACCAGATGAGGTTTGGAAATGATAACAACAGGAGAGTGAACTGTTTATCATGCATGCATAGGAAAATATTGGTCAGTACCATTTAGAACTAAGAATTGAAAAAAAAATAGAGCACAAAACATAAAAAGTAGGGACAGATACACAACTACCTACAAGAAGCTTTAGAGATAGGCATCAACTGGGCACTGGCTAATTAGATTTTCTATATTTCAGTACCGTAAAATGGGGTGTTAAGGGACAGTGGGGTGTTAAGGGACAGTTGCATGGGAAAAACTTTGAGTCATATTAACTTCCTAATTTGAGAAGGTTCAATAAAAACTTCAGTGTGGTAGTTGACACTGTTTTGCTCTTGACCATAGGAGAAAATGGTATGGTTTTTCATGCAAGTGATTTGGTTCAAAAATGGATTTGAAAATCATGCTACATTTTCACAAAATTGAAACATCTCCAAAACTCTGTGTGTACCGCATAAACTAGTGGGTGTACAGGGAAAATGAATGCATAAGTGTATTGTCACATGTATTGCACATGTTTCCTGAAAAAACTTGTGCAAATCCACCCATTCATTCATCATCCTCGGTCAAGGGCATCATCCTCATCCTCATTCATCATCCTCACATTCGGTCAAGGGCTTTTCAAGGGGATAGACGTGTTTAAAGATGCTCCGCTATTTACCGTGTTTCATGCGGAAGGGATTCTAGTTTAGTGTTAAAATGTGTATGTAAATGTTGCTAATTTAACGTAGATTATTTATATTGTTTTGTTTTAGCACAAAAGTGAAAGCTGTGCCTGCTCTAACTCTTCAAAAATTGCATTTTTCTTACTTAAGAACATATTTTCGTATTTGTCGAGGTGGGCAGCTTGCTCTTGATTTTTAATCTGCACACTCGTGCACTCAGCAAGTCGAGGCACTTCTGCGCCTCTTGCTCTACTTTTTGAAATGGCAGCAAATGTCAAAACAGGTTGTGCTATAAGCACAATCAATCTATCTGACGACGACTCGGATGACTCCATTGGAGGATATGACATGGACAGTAAGCAATGGATCATTGCTAGAAAATCGAAGAAAAACAAGAAAAAGATCGTTGGATCCATACAGTCGCCTAGCAGCGAACCTGAGACAGTTGAATATGCTAATGGTGAAGAGATTAAAACGTGCAAAGGAGGATCTGATAAGCGTTGTGGAAAGCCGATAGAAGATGACAGTGGTGCGCTGTGTGTTACTTGCGGCTTTCTGTTCCATGCAGACTGTCAACAAATATGCGGGCCAGCTATGCAGGCACTACAAAAGTACAGTGTCCTATCCTTTGTCTGCAGCTTCTGTAAAACTGGCAAGATAACTCAGGACAAGATGAGGCAGAACTGCACCGCCATCGAAACCAAGATTGCAAACTTGGAGCAAGCTATTGAGAGCAACACGAAAGCTCTCAACAAACTATTATCAGCCCACGAGCATGAAGTCAAGCAGGCAGTCCCTGCAGAAGCGCCCACACTGCAAGCAAAAACGTATGCTGAAACAGTTCGAGGAACTTGTGACCAAGTTCTCAAGACAGTTACAGACAAGCTCAAAACCCTGACCAAGGAAGATCAGTGGAAGAGAGAAGAAAACATTATTTTGCACAACATTCCGGAAAGTAGGGCAGCTGACCCAGCGGCGAGACAGAGATACGACGAGGACAGCTTTGCAAACATAGTTCATGCTTTGCTAGGGGAATACCAAGATATCCAGACTGTCAAAGTATTTAGACTCGGCCGAAGGAATGACGCGGGTCAAGTTAGAAGAGATGGAACCCACACAGACAACACGACAAAACCGAGACTACTTCTTGTAAAGCTGACAAGCAAAGACGATGTGGAGCGACTGATGAAATTGAGATACTTTCTCAAGAACTCAGGCTTCGCGAACATTTATATGAGTCGCGACCTCCCACCTGAGGAACGTGAAATTCAACGCAAATTAAGGGAAGAGCTGAACGTGAAAGGGAAGACCACCCACCGTATATTTCGGGGGCGTGTTGTCCCCAAAGACCAAAGAGGAGAGGAGCTCTTTGAAGAAAGACAAGGAAGACGTTAAAGGAAGACAAGAAAGGGTCTGTGACAGCTTAGATAAAGACCCTGATGGTTGCAAAAATGTTCAAAGCTCAAGATTATCTTTCAAACTCAAAGTTGCTTTCACAAATGCTGATGGGATTGGTAACAAGTTACCTGAATTACATCTGTACCTGGAATCCTTTAAGCCCGACATACTAGCAATTGTTGAGAGTAACTGCAATATTGACCTGCCAAACACACTGTTAAGGAAACATGGGTTTCAAATTCATCGCCAGGATAATTTGGAAGAAAGACGTGGTGGAATACTGGCGTTCGTAAAAGACGGGCTTGGAATGAAAACTTGTCACGAACTTGACGATTATGCAAGTCAATTCAAAGAATCTTGTTGGGTCTGGATAAAGGTGTCAAGAACCACCAGAATGCTTTTGGGTATTGTGTACAGAAAACCAAACAGCTGCCGAAGAAATGATGAAATCTTGATAGAATTGATTACCAAAGCCTCAACGTTAACAAACAACCTGTTAATATGTGGTGATTTCAACCTTCCTGAGATTTCGTGGAACGACTCGTCGTCTAAGAATAAAAACAATGAGGGTTTCAACACACCAGTTGAAGTGCTGAATGTATTGCAAACAAATGGACTACACCAGCACATCAGGCACTTTACCAGAGCAAGGGGATCAAATCAACCCAGTCTTTTGGACCTACTCATAACAAGTCGAGCAGATGACATTGAAGGCGCGGAGGTATTACCTCCCTTCGGCAAAAGCGATCACGGCGTCATACAAGCAGACCTACTTATTCCTGATGTCAGATGTTTGAAAAATAATCAGCCTCTAAAAACGGTGTGGAACTACATGAAGGGAGACTATGAAAAGGCAAGGAACATGGCTTCCCAAGTTAACTGGACTGCCATGCTGTCAAACAAAAGTAGCGATGAGCAGTATGATTTACTGGTTGAACACCTAATGCAAATCCGGAAAGAATGTGTTCCTGTGAAAACGATGTGTAGGGGCAGAGATAATAATAAAATGTGGTTTAACAATGAAGCAAAAAGGAAGATTGCAAAGAAACACCGTGCTTGGAATGCCTACATGAGGGCAGAGAGGTTAAAGCTACCAGAGTTGGAAAGGTATAGAAAGAAATACATCAAGGCAAGAAAAAAGGCTCATTATGGTCTACGTAACATCAATGCAAAGCACGAAGAAAAACTTTTTCATCAGATCAAAACTAATCCCAAGCTGTTTTATGCGTACTGTAACTCCAAAAACAAAGTTCGAGAGCCAGTAGGGCAAGTTACCAAGGCAGACGGAACCCCATCATCAACATACGAAGAAACTGCCGCTGCCCTCAACCAACACTTCAAGAATGTGTTCACGTTAGAAGATGACTCTGACTTGATTTACGCCAACGAATTCTTCTCCTCACTGTCAGACGAGCAAATGTGTCCTTTCACCCACTGTCGGCATCCAGATGTACCCGAATTACATTCAGTTGAAATGCCTCTTCAACATATCATCAAGCTACTGAAAGAGCTTAAGTCCTACAAGTCACCAGGGCCAGATGATCTTCACCCACGTCTCCTAGCTGAACTCGCAGAAAATGTAGCAGTACCTTTGAGGATCATATTCAAAAACTCGATGGACACTGGACATGTCCCTCGTCTATGGAAAATGGCATACGTCACAGCAGTCCATAAGAAGGGATCAAGAACTGAAGCCCAAAACTACCGCCCAATTAGTTTAACCTGCATATGCAGTAAAGTGATGGAAAGAATCGTCAATGAACAAATAATGAGTCATATTTTGCAGAACAACATTTTGAACCCACGCCAACACGGATTTGTTTCCGGAAGGTCGTGTTTAACAAACCTCCTCTCCACTTTGGAAGACTGCAGCCGCAGCCTTGATGAAAAGGTACCTACAGACATTGTCTATCTAGACTTTGCAAAAGCTTTTGACACCGTACCACATGCAAGACTTTGTCATAAATTATACCGATCAGGGATTGGCGGTCAGCTGCTTAACTGGCTTGAAGACTTCCTCTACGATAGGAAACAGAGAGTTGTAGTCAACGGAGCCCACTCAAGCTGGGCAAAGGTGGCAAGTGGCGTCCCACAGGGCTCAGTGATCGGTCCCACCCTGTTCCTTCTGTTTATTAATGACATGCCGGATCAAATAGTTAGCCAGGTGCAAATTTTTGCTGATGACAGTAAAATCTACCGACACATCAAGTCACATGAAGATGTGGAGCGCTTACAAGGGGATCTCCAAGAGATTGAGCACTGGTCTCGTCAATGGAAACTATGCTGCAATGCTTCTAAGTGCCAGACCCTTCGAATCGGCACCAAACAAATGATGTCCGACAGACCAGTCTACATGCTCGGTGGTACTAAGCTGGAGAACACCAACGAACAAAGAGACCTGGGTGTTATTGTTGACTCCTCGCTCGAGTTCAACAAACATATCAACAAATGCACCCAACGAGCATATGCCAGTTGGGGCATGGTAAGGAGAACCTTTGAAAAGCTGAGGCCGGCAATGTTTAATCTCACATACAAAACATTTGTCCGCCCTCACATTGAATTCTGTCCCCAAGTGTGGTCTCCATATAAGAAATATAATATCAAGAAGATTGAAACAGTTCAAAGAGCAGCTACAAGAAGAGTTGTTGGACTGCAAGGGTTAAATTATCCAGAGCGGCTGAGACAGCTTAAGCTTACCACCCTAGAAGAGAGAAGAGAACGGGGAGACTTACTTGAGACCCACAAAATCCTCCATCAGCTCCACGAGTGTGACCTCACCCAATTATTTAACGTTAGAAACCGAACAGAGCGAGATTACCTCAAACTGTACAAGCCCCACCACCGGACGTTGAAGAGAGGAAGATTTTTCTCACAAAGAGTTATAAATAAATGGAATTTGTTAAGCTCTCACATCAAGATGGCAAAAACATCTAACCAATTTAAGTCAAGATACGACAAACATCGGGCAGACAGACAAGACTGACCCAAGAGAAATCAAACTGATGTAGAAAAACGCGTGATTCAAAAAAGAAATGGGCTACAACATAGACCTCGACGTCTTCTTCCAGAGCCCAAACAACCTTGATTGATTGATTGATTGATTGATCCTCTTCCTCTTTTCCAGATACATGCATATTTTGAGGTGAATGAGGGGTGCTAAGGAACAGGGAAGAAAAAATAAAAAATAATATCTGAATATAATTTAATTAAGTAGGCATGGAAAACACCAAATTCCACATAAAATGCTGGCAAGTTCATGCTTTTATCTCTAACACATCTTAAGTTATGTAACAAAACATCTCAACACTCTCTTTTACAATGATGGGTCAATGGAGACTGATGTAAGTAAATGTGATGTCATCATAAAAAGGCTAAAACAAAGAGGGCAACATAATGACAAGTGACAAGCTTCAACATGGGTTTTTATTGATGACAAAAGATTACTTTTTGGTTCTGTTTACCTTATAATTAGCACATTTTCCACAAGCGTAAACTGCATTACACGTAATTGGCCAAAAAGGTCATTAGTGGTGAATGAACCTGACTTGTTTTGTGACAGAATATGCAAAACATTTCAATAAATAAATTGTGTGCTCTTCCACACCCCAATTGTGGGCATTTGATGACCATTTCTTGGAATAATATAGGTGTCCCTTAACACCCCACATTGGGGTGCTAAGGGACAGTGATGAAAAATAATAAAAAATAATATGCAGGTATAAATCTTAAAAACTTAAATGTGGCAGGCATGTAAAGCACCAAATTCCACATAAAATGCTGACAATTTGATGCTTCTATCTCCAACCCTTCTTGAGTTATATAACAAAACACCTCAAAACTGTCCCTTAACACCCCGTTTTACGGTATGAGCTCCCTGGAACCCCTTTTTATATAAAGAAAGAATAAAGACTTCTGATCCAAGGAACTAAATGACTCCATGAAAATACTCAATTACAGACTCCTATGCACCAACCTAGTCATAAGTGAAGCACTTACATGCTCCAGTTACTTACCAAAAAAGAAATATAGATGAAATGTGCATGGTTGAAAAATCACAGAAGTGCATCATTCAAACTTGGCTTTCAGCTCAGGAAAATATTTGTGATGAGAAGGCAGGTGTCACAGTTTACCTGAAAACAAACAATACTGACATTGTTGAAAAAGTATATTACAGCTAGGCAATAAGCATGAAGTGGTATGCAGGCTATGGGGCATTCAATGTAAGAAAACGCATAGGTACCTAATGTTTGGATGGACAGCATCGACGGATTTAGAGCAAATGCCAATTGCCAAGCAGATCTTGTTGTGCACCCCCAGCCCTGTGGTCCCATTAAGCAACACCAAGTGTCTCAAGTGCTTAGTTCAGCTGAAAAAAATAGCAACCACATACGATAGAAGCAAGGCACATTATGTTAGCTAAACTGAATACAACTGCAGCTGCTCCCACAAAATGGGAGCAGCTGCCAAACCTTAAAACAGAACCTAACTGTTGGCTGGGAGTGGGTTCCCCAGACCCCAATTGATTGCGGGTTGGGTATGTTAATTTAGACCGACAAAGAAATGTGATAAAGGAATGTGAATGAAAATTTGCATGATACAAAATTGTAAATTATTAAATTATGGCAGTCATACGTTTTAAAACTTGTATGATTTTTTTGTACTTCAGGGAAGCTCGCTCACAGCCGCATGCCCTGCGACCACCTCTCCTGATCAGGGTGGAGGCCAAGGCCCTTGTATTTAGGGCCTTGGGTGGAGGTACCGACACAGGGCACCTGGGGTAATTTTATCAAGGCTCTTGAAATTCGCTCGCCTAAATCACGTGACAATTAGCCGGTAGGAGGCACTGCACTGACATGTCCGTGAACTTAGCGACGTATACGTATACGTATTCAGCGACGAATTCCAAATCACTTCAGATTCATGGCATGGCTTAAGTTGACCATGCTGAACACGAATATGACATTTATTTTAACTTTTGAGCTGATCTTCATGGTTAAAATCCGGTTTAAATGACGGGGAACCGCATAACGTCGCGAAAATAAAAACCCACGAATTCCAAAGTACATGCAAAATGTAGAGCTCATCCAGATCTAACGTCCGTGGAAGAATCCAAGCTCGTGGTTCTTTAACTTCATGGTGAAAAAACCGGTTTAAATGACGGGGAACCGCATAATGTCGCGAAAATAAAAACCCACGAATTCCAAAGTATGTGCAAAATGTAGAGCTCATCGAGATCTAACGTCCGTGGAAGAATCCAAGCTTGTGGCTTTTTAACTTCATGGTTAAAATCCGGTTTAAATGACGGGGAACCGCATAACGTCGCGAAAATAAAAACCCACGAATTCCAAAGTATGTGCAAAATGTAGAGCTCATCCAGATCTAACGTCCGTGGAAGAATCCAAGCTCGTGGCTCTTTAACTTCATGGTTAAAATCCGGTTTAAATGACGGGGAACCGCATAACGTCGCGAAAATAAAAACCCACGAATTCCAAAGTATGCGCAAAATGTAGAGCTTATCCAGATCTAAAGTCCGTGGAAGAAACCAAGTTCGTGGCTCTTTAACTTCATGGTTAATATCTGGTTTAAATGACGGGGAACCGCATAACGTCGCGAAAATAAAAACCCACGAATTCCAAAGTATATGCAAAATGTAGAGCTCATCCAGATCTAACGTCCGTGGAAGAATCCAAGCTCGTGGCTCAACGCCTTCATGGTTAAAATCCGGTTTAAATGACGGGGAACCGCATAACGTCGCGAAAATAAAAACCCACGAATTCCAAAGTATGTGCAAAATGTAGAGCTCATCCAGATCTAACGTCCGTGGCAGAATTCAAGCTCGTGGCTCTTTAACTTCATGGTTAAAATCCGGCTTAAATGACGGGGAACCGCATAACGTCGCGAAAATAAAAACTAACGAATTCCAAAGTATGTGCAAAATGTAGAGCTCATCCAGATCTAACGTCCGTGGAAGAATCCAAGTTCGTGGCTCTTTAACTTAATGGTTAATATCTGGTTTAAATGACGGGGAACCGCATAACTTCGCGAAAATAAAAACCCACGAATTTCAAAGTATGTGCAAAATGTAGAGCTCATCCAGTTCTAACGTCCGCGGAAGAAACCAAGGGCTCTTTAACTTCATGGTTAATATCTGGTTTAAATGACGGGGAACCGCATAACGTCGCGAAAATAAAAACCCACGAATTCCAAAGTATATCCAAAATGTAGAGCTCATCCAGATCTAACGTCCGTGGAAGAATCCAAGCTCGTGGCTCAACGCCTTCATGGTTAAAATCCGGTTTAAATGACGGGGAACCGCATAACGTCGCGAAAATCAAAACCCACGAATTCCAAAGTATGTGCAAAATGTAGAGCTCATCCAGATCTAACGTCCGTGGAAGAATCCAAGTTCGTGGCTCAACGCCTTCATGGTTTAAATCCGGTTTAAATGACGGGGAACCGCATAACGTCGCGAAAATAAAGACCCACGAAATCCAAAAATTGTGCAAAATGTAGAGTTCATCCAGATCTAACGTCCGTGGCAGAATCGAAGCTCGTGGCTCTTTAACTTCATGGTTAATATCTGGTTTCAATGACGGGGAACCGCATAACGTCGCGAAAATAAAAACCCACGAATTCCAAAGTATGTGCAAAATGTAGAGCTCATCGAGATCTAACGTCCGTGGAAGAATCCAAGCTCGTGGCTCTTTAACTTCATGGTTAAAATCCTGTTTAAATGACGGGGAACCGCATAACCTCGCGAAAATAAAAACCCACGAATTCCAAAGTATGTGCAAAATGTAGAGCGCATCCAGATCTAACGTCCGTGGAAGAATCCAAGTTCGTGGCTCTTTAACTTCATGGTTAATATCTGGTTTAAATGACGGGGAACCGCATAACGTCGCGAAAATAAAAACCCACGAATTCCAAAGTATATCAAAAATGTAGAGCTCATCCAGATCTAACGTCCGTGGAAGAATCCAAGCTCGTGGCTCAACGCCTTCATGGTTTAAATCCGGTTTAAATGACGGGGAACCGCATAACGTCGCGAAAATAAAGACCCACGAAATCCAAAAATTGTGCAAAATGTAGAGCTCATCCAGATCTAACGTCCGTGGCAGAATCCAAGCTCGTGGCTCTTTAACTTCATGGTTAATATCTGGTTTCAATGACGGGGAACCGCATAACGTTGCGAAAATAAAAACCCACGAATTCCAAAGTATGTGCAAAATGTAGAGCTCATCCAGATCTAACGTCCGTGGCAGAATCCAAGCTCGTGGCTCTTTAACTTCATGGTTAAAATCCTGTTTAAATGACGGGGAACCGCATAACCTCGCGAAAATAAAAACACACCAATTCCAAAGTATGTGCAAAATGTAGAGCGCATCCAGATCTAACGTCCGTGGAAGAATCCAAGTTCGTGGCACTTTAACTTCATGGTTAATATCTGGTTTAAATGACGGGGAACCACATAACGTCGCGAAAATAGAAACCCACGAATTCCAAAGTATGTGCAAAATGTAGAGCTCATCCAGATCTAACGTCCGTGGAAGAATCCAAGCTCGTGGCTCAACGCCTTTACGGTGAAAATCCGGTTTATATGACGGGGAACCGCATAACGTCGCGAACATAAAAACCCAGTAATTCCAAAGTATGTGCAAAATGTAGAGCTCATCCAGATCTAACGTCCGTGGACGAATCCAAGTTCGTGGCTCAACGCCTTCATGGTTAAAATCCGGTTTAAATGACGGGGAACCGCATAACGTCGCGAAAATAAAAACCCACGAATTCCAATGTATGTGCAAAATGTAGAGCTCATCCAGATCTAACGTCCATGGCAGAATCCAGGCTCGTGGCTCTTTAACTTCATGGTTAAAATCCGGCTTAAATGACGGGGAACCGCATAACGTCGCGAAAATAAAAACCAACGAATTCCAAAGTATGTGGAAAATGTAACGCTCATCCAGATCTAACGTCCGTGGAAGAATCCAAGTTCGTGGCTCTTTAACTTCATGGTTAATATCTGGTTTAAATGACGGGGAACCGCATAACTTCGCGAAAATAAAAACCCACGAATTTCAAAGTATGTGCAAAATGTAGAGCTCATCCAGTTCTAACGTCCGTGGAAGAAACCAAGGGCTCTTTAACTTCATGGTTAATATCTGGTTTAAATGACGGGGAACCGCATAACGTCGCGAAAATAAAAACCCACGAATTCCAAAGTATATCCAAAATATAGAGCTCATCCAGATCTAACGTCCGTGGAAGAATCCAAGCTCGTGGTTCTTTAACTTCATGGTTAAAATCCGGTTTAAATGACGGGGAACCGCATAACGTCGCGAAAATAAAAACCCACGAATTCCAAAGTATGTGCAAAATGTAGAGCTCATCGAGATCTAACGTCCGTGGAAGAATCCAAGCTTGTGGCTTTTTAACTTCATGGTTAAAATCCGGTTTAAATGACGGGGAACCGCATAACGTCGCGAAAATAAAAACCCACGAATTCCAAAGTATGTGCAAAATGTAGAGCTCATCCAGATCTAACGTCTGTGGAAGAATCCAAGCTCGTGGCTCTTTAACTTCATGGTTAAAATCCGGTTTAAATGACGGGGAACCGCATAACGTCGCGAAAATAAAAACCCACGAATTCCAAAGTATGTGCAAAATGTAGAGCTCATCGAGATCTAACGTCCGTGGAAGAATCCAAGTTCGTGGCTCTTTAATTTCATGGTTAATATCTGGTTTAAATGATGGGGAACCGCATAACGTCGCGAAAATAAAAACCCACGAATTCCAAAGTATGCGCAAAATGTAGAGCTTATCCAGATCTAAAGTCCGTGGAAGAAACCAAGTTCGTGGCTCAACGCCTTTACGGTGAAAATCCGGTTTATATGACGGGGAACCGCATAACGTCGCGAACATAAAAACCCAGTAATTCCAAAGTATGTGCAAAATGTAGAGCTCATCCAGATCTAACGTCCGTGGACGAATCCAAGTTCGTGGCTCAACGCCTTCATGGTTAAAATCCGGTTTAAATGACGGGGAACCGCATAACGTCGCGAAAATAAAAACCCACGAATTCCAAAGTATGTGCAAAATGTAGAGCTCATCCAGATCTAACGTCCATGGCAGAATCCAAGCTCGTGGCTCTTTAACTTCATGGGTAAAATCCGGCTTAAATGACGGGGAACCGCATAACGTCGCGAAAATAAAAACCAACGAATTCCAAAGTATGTGCAAAATGTAACGCTCATCCAGATCTAACGTCCGTGGAAGAATCCAAGTTCGTGGCTCTTTAACTTCATGGTTAATATCTGGTTTAAATGACGGGGAACCGCATAACTTCGCGAAAATAAAAACCCACGAATTTCAAAGTATGTGCAAAATGTAGAGCTCATCCAGTTCTAACGTCCGTGGAAGAAACCAAGGGCTCTTTAACTTCATGGTTAATATCTGGTTTAAATGACGGGGAACCGCATAACGTCGCGAAAATAAAAACCCACGAATTCCAAAGTATATCCAAAATGTAGAGCTCATCCAGATCTAACGTCCGTGGAAGAATCCAAGCTCGTGGCTCAACGCCTTCATGGTTAAAATCCGGTTTAAATGACGGGGAACCGCATAACGTCGCGAAAATAAAAACCCAGTTTGCATCAGGCACGCTCCGCCGGTTCCTCCAGCGCTGGGACGTACGACATGAGATGTCGTCACCGCACTACCCGCGCGCTAACGGGCACGCGGAGGCCTGCGTGAAGACAGCGAAGAAGCTGGTGCTGGCTGCGTCCTCATCGGGCCGGCTCGACCAGGACCAACTGGACCGAAGTCTGCTCGAACTCCGTAACACGCCCCGAGCAGACGGACGGTCGCCGGCACAGGTGCTGTTTGGTCACCCGCTTCGCTCTGGTGTTCCCACGCACCACCGCGCCTTCGCTCCTGAGTGGCAGCGGGCGGCCGATGTCTGCGAGGAAAAGGCTGCCGAGCTCCAGGAGCAGGCCGTCAGGTACTACAACAAGAGCACGCGCCGGCTGTCACCGCTCAAGATCGGCAGCCGGGTCGACCTTCAAGACCCCGCCACCGGCCGATGGAACCGGATCGGAGTGATCGTGGGCGTCGGTCAGCGGCGCACGTACAGGGACCCGCAGTTGCTACTGTACACATATATTACCAATTTAGAATTGCGCTATTATTTGCTAAGTGCTGGCCATTGGAGAAATGAAATGTAGCGCAAAGTATGGAGGAATAACACATGTTTGCTCCTAGGACGTTTGTTTTGTATAATTCCTCTTACCGCAACAGATATTCTTCCAAAACTACAATCGTGCTATTTTTCCGCGCCGGTTGCCTCCCCAGAGCCCGTCCTTGGTATCGCCTATAGCTTCCGTTCCCGCTACGTGAATGAAAGTCACGTGACTACTACAGGTTTGCGCTCAGTACTAACACACCTAGCCCGAGGGCCGGTCCGTAGCGGGGAGGGGTAGAACGCCAGAGCTCCAGCGCAGTGGAGGTGGTGGTGGCCCGTATCATAAAGAGGCAACCGTAAGCAGAACTACAATTGCCGCAGTATAAGATTATGATCAAGTTTTCTTTAGGTGTATTGATTGACAAGAAAGTGCAATGCTTATCCGATATAATAAAACGGTGTCCAAGGCCTTGGAAGAACTATAAAACATATTCAGCAACGTATAAATTTATGATACAGGCCATGACCTTTCACCTTGCCTCCGGGGAGGACCGCTCAGGAAGCCACATACCGATCGAATCGAGGCCTCGCAGCGCGGCGGCAGAGGAGAGTGGATAAACCATCGCCAGATCTTTCGTTTACTTATGTTTCCAGAAGAAGGTGGAGGATGAGGGCTGTTTTCAACCCACTCACCAATCATTTCCTTATTAACTTATAGCTTACCGAAAAATGCAACACAATGGTGGCCGTCACGAGATGTAGCGAAGAGTGCCTCAGCCACACCGGCTTTGAGTAAACTTTAAGCATTGGAATTCGGGCCAGTGATCCTGAAGCGATATCTTTTTTTGGTCGTGCATAAGCTGGGATGACGTCGTCCAAGTTAATTGCGAAGAAACGGTTTTAGTTTCAGAACATTTATGAGGCTAGTCGCGCCAAATAGTATACGTTTGTTGCAAAATGTCAAATAGTGATACCACAGAGTTGACGTGCTATCCAGATGATGGAATTTATTTGACACAAGAAGCCAACAAGTGGCATCGTTAGTCATCCTGCATACCTATAAATCGATTCGTCACCTTGGTTCGAGCTCAATAGTTCTTTTCACGGATGATCGGTTTCGTTTTCTTTCCTTTTCTTTCCTTTCCTTTTCCTTTTCCTTTCCTTTTCCTTTCCTTTCCTCCCGTTTTTTCGTAAGCTACAGGCTAACTTACTGATCATTTTTCTGCGTTTACGGGTTGGACGGACTTTTGGACGGACTTTTGGTCATTTGCGCATGTAATGGTGGCCAGAAATGTTTCATACCGCTTTTTTTGTACTGAAAGGCTGCGTCAAAAATCATCTTGCACGTTGCTCATCTTACCCCATGGGCGGGGTAAGTTGAGACACGTCGTGGGGAAAGTTGAGCATGGATAGAAAAAGCGAACCTCTTCTTTTCCCGGGCGCGGCGAAGAGTGGGCTCTTTTATTTACTCCATGGCATACATACTTATGGCAACGTTTTTTCCTCCATCAAAAAGTAACTGTTTAAAGCCTTCCAATAACTCGTCAAGTTTTCTATCAAGGAAGAAATCATATTATCCTTCAGATAATTTGCAAATCACTTACAACTTGTGTAATCAACAAAGAAAAAACAATTTCCTACCATTTTTATTCAGCAGAAACAAGCGCAGCTCAGTTTGGTTTTCGACAGCGGAGACAACAATGCCTTATCCGGCTCATCTTACCCCAGGTGAAAATGGCTCATCTTACCCCACCCGTGGTCATTTTCGATTAATGGCTGACACCTGCTAAGGAAAATAACCATGCACCGCAGATAACAACCATCTCATTTTAAAGGCAAAACATGTCTTAGTTATTAGGGGTGATACCACATGTTACCGGGGCTGAGCGCGAGAACGTTGCCGTCTCACGTGAAAGACGTGAAAGACGTGAACATCGTAAGCAAACGGCACATGAAAGCTCAAGTCAATTAGCGCCATAGGAGCTGAGAAACATGGGTGGCTAAACTTGCCCCTTGGCTCATCTTACCTCACTCTCCCCTATTTGGGGCTCTCAACTTTGATTTGTTAAAGTTTTTTGTCTGTTCATTATAAAAGCTGTCAAATTTGCCGTATCATTAAACTTTTATTGAGTTTGTATTTCACACTTATCTAAAATGAACAATTTTGTCACTGGCTTCTTTTATGAATGGAATTGGATGGTCGCATGAATGAACGAATGAATAGCTCCATTTGAGCATCAGCTGAAATCAATCCTAAAATTTAATCTACCAGTCTGCAACGAAAAGGTTTAAAAATCAGTGCAAGTTAGGTGCAGTTTCTAATCTATGCCGTGTTTTATTAAGTGTCTCATAGCTCCTTAATCTTGAGCCGCTTCTCTTACGATTCATTTTATGTGGTGCTTACATTGTTCAAGAAGTTATAGTATTTGAGCTCGTTGGTCTTAAAAACTGCTATCGAAGTAAATTAAAGTGTTTCGGGCTTCGGCACTTAAAACCAATCGATATTTAACAATTAACCCTCACCCACTTAGGCATTTCTTTTCAGCGTCTTACATGTAGCGGAGGGGCGTAGAAACCCTCAGCCATTCGGCCCTTGATAAAAATAGCCAGAGCTTCGCTGAAAAATAAAAAAAAGAGCGAGCTGCTCGTGACGAGAGAAATCCGATGATTTGAGGGTCCTGGTCATCGCGGACGAGAGAAAGCCAATTATTTTTATGTCCCGGTCAATGCTGAGATCCTAGGTTACTGGATGCTCCTAACGCATCATTTTTAGAGTTATGACATCGAAATACACACCAAACGATAGAGAATTGATCAAGAATCACGATAGTGAAAGTTTCAAGTCGATACCTCTTACCGTTTTGCCGCAATCGTCGCGGAAATCTGAAAAAAAGTTAGATTTTTCCGAAAATTTGACCTTTGACCGGTCATAAGTAGGTCAAATGTTGACCTAGGACCAAAAAATATACCACCAATCGCGAGATCTCGTTGAGAGCAATCCGTTGGTCTTTTCCGCTAAGCTCTACGACGCTCCATTTTCAAACGCCAGGGGGTTCGCACCAACCCCCCCCCCCCCCTGCATGGGCGAAGGTGGGAAAACACCGTTTACGGGCGAGGGTTAAAGGTAATTTGGTTCAAAGATTTAAAATTCTCAGACAAGATGGACAAATAATAAGGGCTATTTAATTTTCTGGAAAGTTGTAAAATTGATTAACTCCAGGGCACCAAAGAATCGTCGCAATCCTTCGCTTTGCCGCGATTTATTGGTGAAAAACAGGGGGCGCGGTCTACTTACATCTACTTATATGTGTGGTGAGGGCTAATATTCATTTTATCTGTGTTGATGAATATGCAACAATTTCTACATGAACTGAGACCAGTCCATAAGAGTATGTTTTTCTCACGGACAATGACAATATTGGAGAAAAATAAGTGTATAGGTTTAACATCGATGAGAACTATATGCGGCACCGTCTCGGTCTGGCCAGCCGGGTTGCCGATAAAATACACAAATGTTTATAAGCTTCCATGATGCGCTTAAAAGACTGCTAAAAAGATTTAAAAAATAAAGATAACTACTTCATCAATTTAGCGAAAGAAAACATGTATTCCTAATTACTTATTTCTTGCCACTGACGGAGGCACTTTTTTGTGCGAAACGTCTGGTTTTATTCGTATTGTTATTGTATTGTCATTCCCTGTGAGAAAAAAGGATAACTCTTCAGTTAGTAACCGTAACAGCGAAACGGCTCAATGTAACACAATTCACTGTGTATACGAAACCTATAATTGTCCCTAAGAATAATCCTATTTACAACTTTTAAAAAGATACAGCCTATACAGCTTGGGCATACATTTTTTTTTCTGCATTAAGATAATATTCATTCATCTCCACAGAATATGGTAAATTAGTGCTGCTGAAGTTCGCTTTCGAAGCGTCTCCTCCAGGCATTCCACAGCTCTCGTGCCATTTTGGATCACGGAACATGGCTGGGCGCAGGACAGGCCGTCTGCGAGCTTGGACGGACCACGTGACCACCTCCTCCCCTCCCCCTCACTCCCGTCCCCTTCCCCAGCAGGGCGTCCGATCTAACCGCGCCCCAGGCAGTCGGCTCGGTCCGACCCTCCCCTGGTCGAGCCACGGCCCGGTGCCGCCTGAGTTTGTGCCGGGTGCAAAACTGGAGCAGTAACTAGCGCTGGAACTAGTAGTCAGCACGACCATCGTCAGATGGCAGGAGTAAATGGAATAAGCGGTTTCAGGTTTCAGAAGGAATGGGGCAGGAAAAAGCGCTGAAAACAATGTTTTGCAGATATAGCCATTAAAAGTTCACTGAATTAGGAGAGCAGCACATCATTTTAAAGCCCTTCAGATGGTGGTTTTAATAAGCACACAATAATTTCCCAATTCGCCTCCAACGGTGTCACAGGCAAAGAATACGCTGAAATACTAGTGTGTACAGAAGCAACTGCGGGTCCCTGTACCTCGTCAAGACGGCCAGTAACAGGGTCCTGTGGCGTAACCGCCGCTACCTGCGCCCATACCGGCCGCTTCTGACGGAACCCACCCCGCCTGTGGCTCCGTCCGCCCCGCGCCCGCCCGCTGCGGGTGCGCCTCAGCCGCCGCCGCCGCCGCCAGCGCGCACCGCGGTCGCCGCCGAGAGGGCGGTCCGACCCGCCGCTAGTGCGCCGGCCGTGTGCCGCTCGTCGCCGGTGCGGTCACCCGAGGTGGAGACGGCCGCCGCCGCTCTCCCGCGTCGTTCTCGACGGCAGCGCCGCGCTCCTGGTCGGCTCCGAGTTCAATGGGGTGCGACCTCGTATGCGGAGTGACTGTGAGACAACGTCGTGCATTGTTGTGTTTTTGTGTGTTTTTGACGACTGTTGTCTCGAGGGGGGATGTTGTGTTCGGGTATAGGGGGTGTGTACTTGGACCGCCTCTGCGGCCCCACCTCTGTGTGCCTGGGAGCGCCCCTGCCGACGCTCAGCTGATCGTGCGCGCCAAGCGGCATGACTGGCGCGGGCGACTAGGCGTGGCGCTCGCCATACTTGTTTAGTTTTTGGAGGACTCTCTCGGCCCATTCGCACCAGCAGTAAATAAATCGCGTTTCTCTTAAGCTCTCTCTCACTCGAACCGTGAATTACGAACATAACAGCCTGCAGGGGGCAAAAACTGCAAAAATAGCCGATTTTTTCGGAAACAGTTTTCTGCAATAACTTTTGACCCAAGCCTTGTACGAGCTTACTTTTACCGGCATCGTGTTCCTCTCGTCAAGACGCATCGAATGAACTATAACTTGACCTTGGAAGGTCAACTTGAAAATTTGACCTCAGGTCAAGGTCATGACCTGACCGGAAAGGGTCATGTTGCATATCAGTCGATCCGTATCGTCGAGCTGAACACATCTAAGGCGTTTTCATCGCTCTAGCATGCCTCTATCAAAAGTTATTTGCGAAAAACTGTTAGATACCATTCGTGACCTAAGATGACCTCAGGGCATAAACAGGGGTCACGGACACCATTTTCATGTTCTGTGTGTCTAAACCACTTGTAATTCGGTGTTTGGGAGTGTTTATAATGTCTTTCGTCCAAAAGAGGCGCATTTCAATTTTCTCCCTTTGACTTATAATGGGGAGGTCGCAAAATTGACCTGACCTTAGGTCATCGATATCAAAATTCTGAGATATACATTTTGTACATGCTATTGCTCTTAGCAATCGCTGAAAGTTTCAAAGCGATCGGTCACTCTGTGTAGCTATGACAGACATTGAAGCTTTTTATGAGGTGAGGTCATCCGCGCCGCCGTTTTTGAGATATTCGCGAAAAACCACAAGGGGGGGTGTTCAAACACCCCACCCCCAGCAGGGCGCGGGTTAAAGAGCCACGAACTTGGATTCTTCCACGGACGTTAGATCTGGATGAGTTCTACATTTTGCACATACTTTGGAATTCGTGGGTTTTTATTTTCGCGACGTTATGCGGTTCCCCGTCATTTAAACCAGATTTTAACCATGAAGTTAAAGAGCCACGAGCTTGGATTCTGCCACGGACGTTAGATCTGGATGAGCTCTACATTTTGCACATACTTTGGAATTCGTGGGTTTTTATTTTCGCGACGTTATGCGGTTACCCGTCATTTAAAACGGATTTTAACCATGAAGGCGATGAGCCACGAGCTTGGATTCTTCCACGGACGTTAGATCTGGATGAGCTCTACATTTTGCATATACTTTGGAATTCGTGGGTTTTTATTTTCGCGACGTTATGCGGTTCCCCGTCATTTAAACCAGATTTTAACCATGGAGTTAAAGAGCCACGAGCTTGGATTCTGCCACGGACGTTAGATCTGGATGAGCTCTACATTTTGCACATACTTTGGAATTCGTGGGTTTTTATTTTCGCGACGTTATGCGGTTACCCGTCATTTAAAACGGATTTTAACCATGAAGGCGATGAGCCACGAGCTTGGATTCTTCCACGGACGTTAGATCTGGATGAGCTCTACATTTTGCATATACTTTGGAATTCGTGGGTTTTTATTTTCGCGACGTTATGCGGTTCCCCGTCATTTAAACCAGATATTAACCATGAAGTTAAAGAGCCACGAACTTGGTTTCTTCCACGGACGTTAGATCTGGATGAGCTCTATATTTTGCACATACTTTGGAATTCGTGGGTTTTTATTTTCGCGACGTTATGCGGTTCCCCGTCATTTAAACCAGATATTAACCATGAAGTTAAAGAGCCACGAACTTGGATTCTTCCACGGACGTTAGATCTCGATGAGCTCTACATTTTGCACATACTTTGGAATTCGTGGGTTTTTATTTTCGCGACGTTATGCGGTTCCCCGTCATTTAAACCCGATTTTAACCATGAAGTTAAAGAGCCACGAGCTTGGATTCTGCCACGGACGTTAGATCTGGATGAGCTCTACATTTTGCACATCCTTTGGAATTCGTGGGTTTTTATTTTCGTGACGTTATGCGGTTCCCCGTCATTTAAACCGGATTTTAACCATGAAGTTAAAGAGCCACGAGCTTAAATTCTTCCACGGACGTTAGATCTCGATGAACTCTACATTTTGCACATACTTTGGAATTCGTGGGTTTTTATTTTCGCGACGTTATGCGGTTCCCCGTCATTTAAACCAGATATTAACCATGAAGTTAAAGAGCCACGAACTTGGTTTCTTCCACGGATGTTAGATCTGGATGAGCTCTACATTTTGCACATACTTTGGAATTCGTGGGTTTTTATTTTCGCGACGTTATGCGGTTCCCCGTCATTTAAACCGGATTTTAACCATGAAGTTAAAGAGCCACGAGCTTGGATTCTTCCACGGACGTTAGATCTCGATGAGCTCTACATTTTGCACATACTTTGGAATTCGTGGGTTTTTATTTTCGCGACGTTATGCGGTTCCCCGTCATTTAAACCGGATTTTAACCATGAAGATCAGCTCAAAAGTTAAAATAAATGTCATATTCGTGTTCAGCATGGTCAACTTAACCCATGCCATGAATCTGAAGTGATTTCGAATTCGTCGCTGAATACGTATACGTATACGTCGCTAAGTTCACGGACATTGCACTGACACGGTGAGAAATTATGCATAGCATTAGCCACGTCATAACTAAAAATGCCCTCCAGCGCCCTGTTTTAAGATTCTGATTCCAAAGAGATAAACTATGAATGATTCCAAATTAAAGTTTCACTGCAATCTGACTTTAAAAATGAATACCCATTACCCACTATTCCTATTATTAACCCTCGCCGGACCTATTGGTTTTCTACATACGCGCCGGCCGAGGGGGGGGGCGGGTACGACCCCCCCCCTCGCCGTTTCGCCCCTGGTGAAGCTAGCGCGCCGCGGAAAAAACGAGCGTGTGCGCCGTTACGAGACGCAGAGATTGGTACCCGATTTTAAGGTCCTAGGTCAACCGGTGACCTCTGAGGTCAGGTCAAGTGCCCCAGGGTACGGTTCAGTTTTTGGTGAATAACTTCGCAAAAAAACGGCCGCAGAGCGCCGATTTTGGCAGCATCGTGTTCGCCTCGCTCAGGCGCGTCGAATGATATACTTTTTGTCCGGGTCAGGTCAACTTGGGGTGTTGACCTCAGGTCAAGGTCAGGTCAGCACCCCCAGGTCACGAAGTTGGTCGAAAGAGGTCATGTCGCATATCATTCGATTCGGCAGGCCTTCCTGAGTCCATTGGTGCCTTTCCCGACTCGCTAGCTCAATTTGATCAAGAGTTATTGACGAAAAACTAATATGACCTTGATGACGTCATAAATGACGTCACGCAAGGTCAACATTGCAAAAGTGACGCATCTGACCTTGCAAGGAGTGCATCAAATCACGATTCTGTGTGCTTGAGATAGTTGGAGATCGTTCCCGGCGCCAGAATAGCAGTTTTCATTTTTCCCCATTGACTTATAATGGTGAGGTCACGAAAATGACCTGACCTCATATGACCTTTAGGAAAAATCCGAGATATACAAGTTGTGGGACTCATAATGGATACTAGATCCTGCAAGTTTCATTTCCCTGTGACATCTCCTCTGGCAGTGAGGGCGTTGCGAAGTTGCGACATCTGAAGACCGTGCAGAGGTTCACTTATGACGTCATAGGTCAGTGACCTGACCTGACCCAAAAATGCGGTTGGTGTCAAAAGATCCGGCTTGGATCAAAGGTCAGGTATGCCAAGTTTCAGCTCTCTATCGCCAGCGTGTTCGGAGCTATCGCGAAAAAACCCTATGGGGGGGCGGCACCCGCCCCCCCCTCGGCCGGCGAGGGTTAAATGATTCAGACTAGGATCACTCACCAATATTCAAGGGAGACAGCCCAATTACAATGGACTGATATTTAAAATAATTGCTCCTTATCTATAAGAATCCTAAGTTGTCCAGTTGTAGCACTTGGAGCACAGCATTAAAAAACCTTAATTATTTGAACTTGAAATTGAATAAAGTGAAAACAGCCCATAGGTATTCCATAGAGTGGGCCAGACTTGAACTGAATTGACTGAAACCAAAACCACTGAAACTCTTGCTGAAACTGATTTGAGCTGTGAGCACCAGAACAAATTGAAATATTGATATGGGCTGATAGAACCGATAGAACATTCTCAAATCAAAGTTGAATCAAAGTCAAGGGTTGATCAGAGGGGTGTTCACGGGCACCGCACACTGCTGCGTGCGGTGTGTGCGGTACGTCCAGCAGGCGTGGGGGTAGGGGATGGGTAGGCGGCTCTGACGTCACGGCTGCGTGCGGTGGACGGTCCGCTGTGGCCAGTCCCGACCGGCCACAGCGGTCGCTGTGTGCGGTGACGCAAGGCTGACGTAGGGACGCAGTGGGCGGAGCTTGGAGGCTGTGTGCGGTCCGACCGCACACAGGGTCCGTGAACAGCCCTCAAAGTTCAAGTTGAAGTGCCCAACGTATATCGCGCAAAGTAATACGCCAACAGATATCCTAGGTAACACGGGTAAAACCCATCACAATTATCACAGTATAACATATTATTGCAATAATAACGTAAGGCAGCAACCCATACTCGAATTTCGAAATTGAAATCCCCCAATCCAACACACAACACGCAAGCTAACGAAATGCGACGTGTATTTGTGATGCAGCGCTACGTTCGTCGAGCGACAGGTCTCGCCGGTCCCGCCATCTATAGACGACATTTTCTTGATAGGCTGCCACCTAGCGATGATGTACGAACTACCGAAGTGTTGACAGATGGCGAACTGCGGGTTACGGACAAAAGTACGTATCGCTAAAGTACGTAGGACAAAAGTACGTAAGCAAAAGTACGTAGGATTAAAGTACGTATCGCAGAAGTACGTACAGTATAAAGTACGTATGGACAAAAGTACGTCAGGGACAAAAGTACGTATCGCAGAAGTACGTACAATATAAAGTACGTATGGACAAAAGTACGTCAAGGACAAAAGTACGTATCGCAGAAGTACGTACAGTATAAAGTACGTATGGACAAAAGTACGTCAGGGACAAAAGTACGTATCGCAGAAGTACGTACTGTATAAAGTACGTATGGACAAAAGTACGTCACGGACAAAAGTACGTACCTATAGCTAATGTACGTAGGGTAAAAAGTACGTATGGACAAAAGTACGTCACGGACAAAAGTACGTATCGCAGAAGTACGTAGGGTATAAAGTACGTATGGACAAAAGTACGTCACGTACAAAAGCCTACGTATAGCAAATGTACGTAGGGTATAAAGTCTTGCTGGGGCGTCTTGCCTTGGGCAAGACGCCCCAGATAATTTTTTTTCGCTACATAGGTACCTTCTTTTGTCTCACATCACTCATGGAAGGCCAAATTTGTGCTCAATGTGTTCTTTGGACATTTTACTTTAAATTCCATCCCTCAAATTCATTCACTTATGATCGGACTCCCAGCTAGGAAGTGCTATGTGAAGCAACTGCAAATGGGGCATTTTGCCCCAACCCCAGGGCTAAACGCCCCACGGCCTGAGGCAAGAAGCCCCATACACTAGATTAACCCTCGCGGGCCCGGGGGGGGCGTTTTTCGCCCCCCCCCCTCCTGGCGAATATTTGCGATAGCTCCCGAACGCTTAGGGATAGGAAAGCGAAATTTTCAGTACCTTTTCTTCCATCAATTTGGCATCTTCTGAAATAAAAAATTTGGACCTAGCCCCATTGATGACGTCACAAAGTCGATTTTTCTAGACCCCTGCACGGCAAACTTCGGTGTCACAGACGCGAACTTCAAATAGCTGCTAAAAATAGAGTTTTAAAGATAAAGACAAATTACGAGCACGGTTGTGTAGCATTTGACCTAGACAAAAATACAAAAATAGTTTTAGTGACCTGAGATCAGAGGTCAGGTCAACGACCCCGAGCTGTGGTTTTAGTTTTTCGCAAATAACTTCGACAAAAATGGTCCTAGAGCTACGGCTGTGGTACCATCGCATTTGTCTTGTCAAGCCGCGTCGAATGATATATATTTTGTTTGGAAAAGGGCAAGTTTTATGTTGACCTCATGTGACGTCGAATGACCTTTGGTTGACCTTGACACATCAAAAGTCGTTTATGATGGATTCGTACCCGCTGATCACGAATCTGGCATCTATTTTCCTCTAAGCCTTTATTTAGAGCCTCCGGATGGCAAAATTGTCTTATTTATTATTACTAACTTGAATCAGTGAAATAGTCTCTAGCAGTAGCAAGGACTCTCTTCTGTGACCTTGACCTTTGAGCAGCCTTGTATCGTTTAAGATGAACCACAAATAGGGACCTGATAAGCCTCAAAACATTTCAAAACATCTTGGAAGTTGACACACAAGATGTACGAAAAAGTGTAAGTTTGACGTCAATTTTGAGCATGACCTTGACCTTGACCTTTGATGTTGAGTACATTTTCGGAATTCTCAGATGCTCTTCTTTCGTTTGACACCCAATTTTACCGGTTTTATGCATCCTGCCGTCCTCTAGAACGCTCACTTTGAGATCACTACACATGTGCCGGTTTTTGCCTTTGACCTTGACCTCCGACCTTGAAAATTGACCTGAAGTCAAAAATTTTGGGTGCTTTAGAAGCGTCTCGTAAGGACCTTTCGTTTGGTATTGCTTTTGTTTGCGTAGCTCTCTTATTTACGGAGTTAGACCGGGGGCGAAAAACGCCCCTCCCCGGGCTGCGGTGGTTGGAATTACCCCCCGGGCCCGGCCGGGTTAACAGAAGAGAGGATCTTTCCCCAGAACCCTGCCAGTTCCGAGAAACATCGGTGAGGCGTTTTACCTCGGCGGGGAGACTTGCCCCGGTCTACCCTACGTGTGGACAAAAGTACGTATAGCAAAAGTACGTAGGGTATTAAGTAGGTACGTACCCCACCCTTGGGTTAAGATCAATGTGTAATACCTTTCTTATTCTTTATTTAATGAGCATTTGTTACAAGGCATAGCAAAATTTCTCGATGAGTAAATGGGCGAGATGGACAAAGCTATATTATTTGGTATATGAATTTATCATGAGTTCCCTGTAGTATGGCATTGGCAACAGAGCAGCAATAAAGAAAAAGTGGCTCAACTTACACTACTATACCCTACTTCTAGCATACGTACTTTATACACTACGTACTTTGGCATACGAACCGTACGTACTTTTGGCATACGTACTTTTTACACTACGTACTTTTGCATACGAACTTTTGCGTACGAACATTTGCGTACGTACTTATGGTATACGTACTTTATACACTACGTACTTTTGCATACGTACTTTTGCGTACGAACTTTTGCGTACGTACTTTTGGCATACGTACTTTATACACTACGTACTTTTGCATACGAACTTTTTCGTACGAACATTTGCGTACGTACTTTTTTCATACGTACATTTTACACTACGTCCTTTTGCATACGTACTATTGCGTACGAACATTTGCGTACGTACTTTTAGCACACGTACTTTATGCACTACGTACTTTTTCATACGTGCTTTTGCGTACGAACATTTGCGTACGTACTTTTGACATACGTACTTTATGCACTATGTACTTTTGCATACGTACTTTTGCGTACGAACATTTGCGTACGTACTTTTGGCATACGAACTTTATCGCCTACGTATATTTGCGTACGAACATTTGCATACGTACTTTTGTCCTACGTACTTTAGCGATACGTACTTTAGTCCTAAAATCGGCGAACTGCCTACCGTATCTTTGTCGTGGCGCCTGACAGGAGAGGAGGGAGAAAATTATCTATTAACGCATCCTATAAGGCTCTTAGTGAATATTTCATAAGCGGGAGCTTATACCCCACGCTCTTTCAATAATTCCATTTCCATATCTCATGATACATTTTCTCGCAAATCGCACATCTGAAAATTTATGAAGCCTAAGCTAGGTCATTAAATGTCCCGGGTCACGCTTCGGCTTGACGTTCAAGTGACCCGGCCTCAAGAAAAGGCAAACGTTTGCAATAGCTACGCATCTACTTCCCAAACTGGAAAGCTGTACCTCTCACACTCACCCCACCCTTACCTTTATTAGTTGAAAGTTGTAACAGGCAGCACCGTAGCTGCAGGTAGTGCCCTTCGGGCCCGACAAAATTTCCATTTCAACGGTGACGCAAAAAAAAAAACATCCATGTCCACGAAGTTCAGCTTAAATTGAAAACCTGTTATAGATCAAGGATTAAGTTTCTAAATGTCCCATGAAACAACTGTTTCTCGCTTTCTGTTGGCCGGTGAAAGAAAGTGGGTTGCGGCCGCCCGGCACTCCGCACAAAGCCCGCGTGTAAGCTCGGTGTCTTCTGAGGATCCAGTATTTCCGGTTAGCCGCGGACGAGCCGGTGTCGCGGCCGGTGTCTCTGCCGTTACCGTTACCGTTTACACGGCATCGTCGGCGTCGGTAACACTGGTGTCAGTCTCTACCGTTACCGTTACCGTTTACACGGTATTGTCGGCGTGGGTAACACCGGTGTCAGAGCAGTGCCACTGTCTGTGCCTTAGTGTCACCGACGGACTGACGGTATACCGTGTCAGTGTCGTCAGTACCGCACTGAGTACTGACGGTATTTATATTATTGTCACTGGCGGTGCCGTGCCGTTGTCAGGGCCGTTACCGCTAACTGTCTTCGTGCCGATGGCAATTGTCTTATGTCCACTCAAGCTGTCTATACTATACCTACCGCTGCTGCTGTTGCCTTTGCCGTTTCCGTTGCCGTTGTTGTTACCAGTAACCGGTGTCGGTATCACAGCTGCGTTGTTTTCCACTCGTCTGACCGGCCGGCTGATAAGCCCGTCTTGGTCTGCGCGTGACAGCCGTCTCAGTGTGCAGCCACAGCGGCCGCGGTGTGATGGACCGGTCCATGGCAGGTCAGCTGACCAAACTGAAAGTGGTCTGACCTGACCCGGTCGGACCACATCACGCCATACATGCACGCCCCGGTTGACGGCCGCTGGGAGCCGGCAGGGTGACGCTGCATGGTAGCGCCTGACGCAGTGGT